ACAAAAACTTTCTTTTTACTCCTCCAGACTATTCTCTGGCCATTTTCTAATTCATCCTCCCCTCTCTGGCAAATTAATCTCTTTAAAATGCAAATATGGCCATGTCAAACCCTTGCTTAAAACCCTTCAGTGACACCCAAGAGTTCAGAATAAAATTCGGGTGCCTCAGCGTGACGGATGGGGGCTGATCCCTGCCTGTCTCGGCCTGCTCACCCCGCTAGTCACGGTAAATTTTCCAAAGATCCCTATATGCTCAGGGTTTTCTCTTCTCATGGGGTTTCCTCTATTTGAAATACCTTCCCTGCCTCTGTGCCTAAATTCAGTGTCTTCATATCTTAGCTCAAACCGAATCACTCCCAGTGTCTTCCAAGTATCACTCCCAGTGTTTCCTTCAGATGTAATTTTTTATCCAGTTGAGTTCTGTGTCCTTTTATGTTCTCGTTATACCCAACACATAACTTTTTTTTTTTTTTTGCGGTACGCGGGCCTCTCACTGTTGTGGCCTCTCCCGTTGCGGAGACGCGCAGGCTCAGCGGCCATGGCTCACGGGCCCAGGCGCTCTGCGGCATGTGGGATCTTCCCGGACCGGGACACGAACACGCGTCCCCTGCATCGGCAGGCGGACTCCCAACCACTGCGCCACCAGGGAAGCCCCATAACTTTTTTTTTTTTAAAGAAACTAACAATATATGCGTTCACTGAACTGTAATACAGTAGTTTGGTTACTTGCCCATCTCAGCCTCTGGACAGTGAGCTCCTAATAAACAGGGAGCTTTCATCTCTGAATCACCAAAGCTGAGCACAATGCCTAGCAGTGAAGAGTCACCAAACGCAGTTTTAGTGAATAAATATAAATGAATGGCAAATAATTAATAATTTGCCATGGAGAGGGATAATGTTCAAAATATTTAATAACCAGTTGGTAGAGGCACCTATTGGTCACCCTGGAATTACCCTAACAACAAATAATGCTGTTCTTGTACGCATCCTTGCAGCATCAACCTGGGCTCCGGATCTCTTTGACTTTTTTATATCAAAAAGGAGAAAAAGCATATCCTTTCATACCTACCTGCCGCCAGACCATTTTAGAAAAACGTGGAGACATAATATATTGGAAAGCACTTCGGTACATGGACACAGGAGCCAATAATCCTGTGTGGTTGACCTATTTATGTGGGAAGATAAAAGCTTTCCTATAAAATTTACAATGGTGTTAAAGTGCTGCCATGCCCTTCCCCAATTACCCAGAGGTGTGCTTCACATTCTCTGGTGGACTAGTTCTTGTTACATAGCATCAGTAAGTTAAGGAAGGATAATTTCCCACATCTTTAGGACCTGTAGTAAATCTTTACTGCCTTCTCACTCCATACATTTAGTAACAGTAAACAGCTCCCCCTTCTTCTAGCCAAGGTGTTGTCTTAGCTCATGTTACCTTCATCACTTAAATACACTATCGCAAATATTGCAAAAGCTGATTAATCCGTTACTTCCATTCTTGAATCCTGCCATCCCAAACCAAGGCATCTGTGGTCACCAGAGTGAACTTTCCAAAATGCATATGTGATCCCTGCCCAAAACCATTCAGTTGTTCTGCATCACCTAAAACTATGTCCTTGGGTCAGTTTTTAAAATTGAGCTTTTTAAAAAAATGCATGTACTTTGGCTTCATGTATGGAGACTACAATTCAGGAGAGGCAAGGTGGTCCCTAGGCATTCTTACAAGTTTCCACAGGAGATTCTATAACACAGCCAGGCTGCGAACCACACATCCACATGATCAAATCCCAACTCCTTTATGGGGAAGAAGGCTGTCCACGTACTGGCTCCTATCTGTCACTTCCAGTTCACTTATTAGCTGGGAGACTTTGGCCAAGTTACCTAAGTGTTTGAGTCTCAGCTGCCTTATTTTAAATGGGGATAATAATACCAATGTTACAGCACTATTCTAAGGATTAGAGATGATGTTGGGCCATTTAATTTATCATCCAAACTGAGATACTATTAATAATTACTCCAAGATAACTATGCATAAGCTTAGACTGTCCTGGGGAAACCGGAGCATGTGGTCACGGTGATTTGAAGCAGTAGGGTCAAAGCATTTCCCACAGTGAATGGCATAGAGCAGAAGTTCAATAAATCATTTTTATTTTTATCATTCTTTATACGTGCATCCCACTCTGCTGGAAGCCCTTGCATGCTGAGGTTGTGGCACAAGGAGCGCATGGTATTCTTGATGCCCTCTAACCGAGAGCCTGATCATTTGTCACTGCCCTTTCCCCACCAGATACTATATGTTGTCAGCCCTGACATTTCTCTATTTTTTATATTTTCCCTTTTCTTTCTCTATTACTCTAGCCCACCATTAATGCTTGCAGGGCCCAGGGCAAGACTGCAAAAGAGGTCCACTTACAGTATATTTTTAAAATTAAAAGCTATATATCAAGCTAATAAACTATAAAATAAGTTTCTCCTATCCTCCTACCTTGATAAATATATCTGTCTAGCAATAAGATAGGTCTAAATTTAGACTTCTTAGAAACCTTGGAGTTCGTTCCATGCAGGATTGCGGCTGATTTTGCACTCTGGCCCCTCCCCTCTCCTCATCCCCTGCTCCATCCACACCACAAGAGCATCATGTGTAAAGGTGTACACACCCCAGCCTGAACGTTCAAGCTCTGTTCATCTCCTAACTTCCACCCTCCCTCACAAACGTCTCTAAGAGTGTGTATTAGACACCTGTTGCTGCTGTAACAAATTATTACAAATTCAGTGGCTTAAGATAACACAAGTTTATTCTTGTATAATTTTAGAAGTCTAAAGTCTAAAAGCAGTCCTACGGGGCTAAAACCAAGGTGTTGGCACTTCTGGTTCCTACTTGAGGCTGTAAGTGAGAAGCAGTGTGGTATCTTCTCTCTGACCTCCTGCCTCCCTCTTATAAAAACCTTTTGTGATTATATCAAGCCTACCTGGATAATTCAGGATAATCTCCCCATCTCAAGATCTTTAACTTAATCACATTTACAAAGTTCCTTTTACCATTAAGGTAACACTTACAGGTTCCGGCAATTAAGATGTGGGCATATTTGGGGGCGTTATTCAGCCTACTGTAGGGTATGCCTACCCGTGGACCCTTGGGAGGATGAACCCAAGGAAGAAATCTGAGCCAGCACTGGAACCACACTTGGGGCTGTGTGGGCAGGAACTCTGGGTGGTTTCATGTCTGGTGTGTGATCTGGAAGCAGGGGAGCTGCAGGGTCAGGATGGGCATGCCCCCTTGGCCCTCTGGATCCCTTGCCCAGCTCAGCTAGAAGAGGTCTCTCTAAAGTTTAGGACCCAGGACAAGAGCCTAGGGATGGCACATCTCTCCTTTCCCCTATTCATCTGGTAACCACAGTCTATTTCCCTTTCTTCTCATCTACACACAAGATTCTGTCAGAGGGAAACACGTAAGCAAATTGTTTTATTCTGTTCAAAGTTCTTTTTGCATCCCTGCCTTTTACTTGTCGTGAAAGAGCCCCATTCCACACCTACTCATTGTTTTTAACCATCCTCACTGGCTTTCCCTTCCTTTGAATCTCTAATTCCATCCTTCCGCCACCTCTTCAGTTCTTAAAATACACAAGGTTTCACCTATTTTCTGTGTTTTAAAAAATATGCTCTCCAGCTAGCAAGTTATTCCTGAATCCTACAAAATTGTCAGTTCATTCCGTTTGTAATGTTTCTTAGTTTTAAATTTTCCACCATCATTTGAAACCTACAGATTTTCTTTTGTAATCAAATTTAAAGTTACTTTTCGTGTTCTACTTGTATACTCTGTATTTTGCTCTATCTTGACCATTTTGAATAATGTTTCCACACTTATACAAGGTATACAGAAGAATTTTTCAAAAAAGAAAAAAATTTTTCTCTCCTTATAAATTTTTGGAAATACCTGAAGGTTCATCTATGTTTTTACTCATTCTCATTAATGTGTGGAATTTTTAAAGTAATCAACTGTCTTTAAGACTCTGACATAATTTTAAGAGAATGCTATGTTTTGAGAGTTGATGAATTATTTCACAAGTTTTCTTTTTTAAATAAAGTTTTGTGGGTTTTTACCTTAATGAAGTATTATATATTGCAAAGGATCTAATGAAAAGAAAATATGCCAGTTTATACTTAGTTTCAAACTCATGTTACAAAATTTCAGTGCTTTAAAAAAAAAAAACTATGACTACATAACGTTATCATATTACCGTAGTATGTACTCCATGAGGGCAGATGTCTGTCTTGTTTATTATTGTTTCGCAGTGATGGCCCAGCTACCAGTGCTTGGATTTATATTAAATAATTGAATAAATGAATATGAGAATTAACGAATGATAGAATTTCAGAATGGCTTTTAAAAAGTAATGTAAAGATGTTCAGTATAAATCATGCTACCTCAAGCAGAACATTGAAATACAGATTTTTAAAGTTTTCAATCAGCTTTGCAATCTCTCAGCTTATTCTGATATGAGTAATATTTTATACTTTTAAGGGTGTTGAAATGTATATATTCAAGATAATCGTCATCTGTTTAAATAGTTTATGAATTGATAAATATAGGTGATACTACATAAATATTACAGATATCTTTATATAGATATTATATATAATGAATGATATATATTATAGAATTATATAGATATTAAGATACTAAATATCTTTAGTTTTTAACACAGTGTTGGGTGATAAGAAATGTGAATCTCTGGTACTGAAATGAAGGCAGGAAATGAGGGGGATATTTCTTCCCTTTCTCCTCATTCTTTCAAAAATTGTGGATGGGAATTGGTTAACTTTGATTTGTCTAGTTTTCTGATGGTAAATGCATGTATGACTTCTTCAATGTGAAGGTATGCTATATGTTTCACAATTTCAAAGTTTTGCTTCACAGTATTCTCTCTTTCTTTGTCATATATTCTTCCCTGGTTTAAACTTTACAAATGGTTGAAGATACCTTTTTCACTGTTTGTCCTCAGAATGGCTTCACTCCTTTATACATGGCTGCCCAAGAGAACCACATTGATGTTGTAAAATATTTGCTGGAAAATGGAGCTAATCAGAGCACTGCTACTGAGGTAAGACACTTGAATTCTTTGACCTTAATGTCCATGTTCTTTGTATCCAGATGCAAAGGGTCTCCATTACCTTTATCCTACGAGTGTTCATGTTACTATTGTAATCTACAACAGTGGCCATGAACGAATGACCCAGTGCACACAGTTCAATGAGTTTATGCCCTGATTTGGGATTCATGTCAATTTATTCTTATGTGAAATCACGCTTCCATCAATTTGCCATTCTCTAGCTTTTGGGAGCTTTATACTATTCTAAAATCAATTTATAGTAAATTTTATCCATCTCTTTTCATCACTGTTTTATCTTTGTTAGGCTCTAATGCAATTCCTTAAAGGAAAGTTTTTTAATGATTAGCAAGAATTCAGTTATTTATGTTCACACAATTTCATGAGAAATATGTCATCAGAAAGCTGTTCATATTTTATGAAGTACAAATTATGACATGTGGTTGTGTGACTGATTATGGCAACAACCGAATAGAATGTTCAAAATCAATCCAGTCTCAAAACATTCAGGCCATCTAGGCATAAAAAGGGGTTGGAATGGGCCAACTTAGCATCACTTTCCTTTTCGTGTGTGTGTTCTCCAATAAGCCGAACCTACTTTGTATTTTCCTTCTCATTTCTGCCTAAGCAGATTAAGGAGGGAGTTCAGTGATTGTTTGGAACAGTGATTTTTAAGTGATGCTTAGGATGCTTTAGAGCTTGGAGAAAATGCCTCAGGGGCCACTAGAAGGTTGGGAGTAGGTGACACAGTAGAGGAGGGGAAGAGAGCTCCATTGGGACATGCCTCTCCTCACCCCAAAGCAACCAGGCTTTAGTTTTCCTATTTCATGTTCTGTGGCTCGACTGATAAAATTTTAAAACTCCTGCCCTGGAGTGAAAGATGACTGGTAGATAGATGGCTGTCACCCAGAAACTATCCTGATAACTTTTAATGTCTAATATGGCCTCCTTTCTGGACAATTAAGTCTTTAGGTGAAATAAACATGAAATCCCTTCTACCCTGCACTGTGGAGAGAGGTCATTTATAATCTATTAAATTCATGTCCAGGCCCTTTGAGAGAAAACTTTTTATGGAGCCTGGCGATAACTTTCTGACAGCTTACTCTCATTAGTTAAAAACAATCCCAAGACATCACTATTAATGGGACCACATTTCCTGTTTATGACTGGAAAACACGACTGCCTAGTATGAAACGATTTCACGTTCTCTACTAAGCACACACAGATTTTACACTCTTACCACATGAGTACAGCGTGATTTTTATGATTATGATTTTATGACTTTCTGAGACATTAATTCTGGCAATGAGTGGCACGTGAATATCCTCAGGCAAAGCTTGGATAACAGTACGAGACTATATCTCTGCATTAGGACCTCTAAGAAATGTACCAAACCATGGAAATATGCATTTGTTTTACTTTATTTCCTTGAAAGCAGAATCATTTATCTAGAGAAACCTTTACACTACAGAGTTCTACTCACCAAATAGACTTTTCTAGTGTATGATTTAGGGAAATGCTGCCTGACAGCATTGTCAGCTTTCTCAAGACTCCTCCAATCTGGACCCCTGTAGCATCTCACTCTGCTTCCAGAAATAGCCTTTTATGTATGTTGCATCAGTGGAGTTCGTGTTACACTCTGATTCTCAGAGAATTAAAACTGTCTCTTATTTCCACAAAGAAATATGACTGTTGCAAGTAAATCACATGAGGTTTTGAATCCTAGTTTAGACACATATATGCCTCTAAACAAACATATATCTATTTTGTTTTTTAATCATTTAAATAAGTAAAATTAATTTTCCCTGACTGGATATGTATAAACTTAGTTGATTAATTCCATACCACTGGCCCGAATGGTTATCAGGAAATACACTAATGGAAAAATCTTGGCATGTTCCCTTTTAGTCTATCATTCTGTGAATGAATAACATCTTCACAGGGCTATATGGTTGATTACTATTTGATCTTTTAGGCTATATTGCTAAATACCTTCTACGGTTGTATGTACATGTATGAATATACCTAAAGAAGACACTTACCCTGAACCCATTAATAGCCCTAATTTGCAAAACGTAGTTACTAATCAAGACATTGTGACCACTTTAAAAATCAGATAATTATGAGATCATTCAGTATGGCAATGAAACTCATGTTTGAAAAGAAATATTTAAAGTGTTGAAATTTCCCGTAATTATAGCAATTAGCATTGGTAAATAAATGATGAAAAATTAAGCTACAGATTTTTAATATAGGTTTCCTTTTCATAGAGTTGGTGAAGGTACTTCAAAAAATCATTTCAAATCTTTACCCTTCTCCCATGAAGTGTAGATTAAAATGAAATCCATGTGGTGGAGGTCCAAAGTTAAATTCTCTCAAAGGAGTTCTCTGTCTGTCCAGTACCATTTTTATAATTCTCTGCTTTCTTCCTTCCTCCTGAATGTTACCAAAATTGAAGGCTAAAAACTTTTTAATTAGGTTCTGTGCTGTCAGCAATGCCTTGTCTCTAAGAAAAAATAAAGTTCACATTCTTTTAATATAAACTATCCCAGTGTTGCAGGGGGGAATCAAATTAAATGTGTGCATGATAATGAGCCTGTTCTTTCCTCCTTCACAGAGGGCTTAATTTGTGCCAAACAAAGTTCTAAATTTAGGCTACTCTCTTTCATCTTACAACACTACATGCTTTACTCTTCCATTCCGTTAAGTAATGTATTTATTTAAAATTCAATTCTAATTTAAAAAATTCAACTCTTACTGTGGTAGTGCATATATGATATGATGCATTTGAGGGAAATGATTTTCCCTCCGAAGTCTACAGTTACCTTTTAAAAAAATACTGTTGAAAACAAATGGAGTAGTTAGATGCTGATAAATTATCATTGTCTCTGGAATATATTCAATAGATGTACCATATCCAATTGCCCTCATCTCTTCTGTGAATGGAAACATTTAACTCTGAGACTTATTTTCAAGCTTTTGTGAATTAAAGGAGGTTTTCACATTAACAGAGCCTAGAATATATACGTATATTTTTTCTACTTATTCATCACCTTTCCGTTGCTGAATACTTGTTTCTAGAGAGAAAACATAGCTTCTAATTTTTCTAATGTGGTTATCCATCTACCTCTAAGGCTCCTCTAACTTTGATGATCTTTGTTATTATTATTATTATTATTATTTTTGCTGCACGTGGGCCTCTCACCGTTGTGGCCTCTCCCGCTGCGGAGCATAGGCTCCTGACGCGCAGGCCCAGCGGCTATGGCTCACGGGCCCAGCCGCTCCGCGGCATGTGGGATCTTCCCAGACCAGGGCACGAACCCGCGTCCCCTGCATTGGCAGGCGGACTCTCAACCACTGCGCCACCAGGGAAGCCCCGATCTTTGTTATTTTTTAAATTGTTTGTTAAGTTTCTAATTGAAAGACTGATTTTCTTTACATTACTTAGCACAATTTTATGTCTAAATGATTTAAATAATATACAATTCAACTAAGTGAAAACTTAATGAATTAGCCTTATTTTCCAAAGAATTTTAGATCATATTATGTCCTAAACTTCCCAAATTAATTGGTAACAGACCATTCCATTAACAGTTGTTGTGAGATATTTAGCACCTTGCATAGTTAATCATGTAATTTATTTCCCTGTCTTGGCTACCATATCTTTGATTCTCAGTCAGACTTGTTCTCCATTATTTCTACCCTTCCCACATTTTCCTTTCCATAAGCAGGCATTACTTAGGGTTGGTTCTAATTTTTATTTTCATATTCAAAACACATTTGAATACATCCTGTGTGCATTATGCTTTGTTAGGAAATGCAGATGTTTTAAAAATAAATAGAATGGGTATTTAAAAAAATCTGATGAAGTCAATGCATAGTACAACAAGTGATGATAATTTGCTTTAATCTTCACAGTAATAATTAATCTTTTCATTTTTCTTGTCAGTCTTAATCATTAATGTGAAAATTAGATGCACTATTTCTTGAATCCCAGCCTTCCAAAAGTTGATGGAAGATTTTTTCTTCTGTTTTACCAGGATGGCTTTACGCCCCTAGCGGTGGCACTCCAGCAAGGACACAACCAGGCAGTGGCCATCCTCTTGGAGAATGACACCAAAGGGAAAGTAAGGCTGCCAGCTCTGCATATTGCAGCTAGGAAAGATGACACCAAATCTGCTGCACTCCTGCTTCAGAACGATCACAACGCTGACGTACAATCCAAGGTAAAAGCTTCATACATTTGTGGAAAGGCACTCTTCGGCCACCAGATTCCTCCTGGGAGATGATAAAGAAGTAGGCCATGGTGATAAGGCAAAATTATTTCTGGTCATCAAAAGAGATAATTTACTTTCAGAGGTATTTCAGCAAAAAGGGGGACTGTCTGTTGAGTACAGTAAGAAAACAGAAAAAAACCTCAAGATAATTTTCTATAAAAGGTGAGGTTCAGTTTTTTAGAAATCTGCTTATTCATTCTATTTCTATTTGTGGTAAAAAAAAATAATAGAAGCAGAATTAGAAAGATATAATTGTATAATGTTATAGTTGTCTTTTTTCAGTAGAATGCATTTTGGCATGCTGGAACGGTATATTCAACTGCAGAGAACAGATTGATTGTTTCCTTAATTTTGCACTGTGTAATATCTTCCCTCTTTTTCCCACACAACACCGCTTCAGATGATGGTGAATAGGACAACCGAGGTACAGTATTGCGGTTATATCAAAATATACCTTGTTTTTATTTTATTTTTTGTCCAATTAGAATAAATGCTCACTAATTGATACTAATGATTGGAATTTTCATTATTAGGAAATTAATTAATTTGGAAACTTTGCCCATAATTAAGGCAAGTGGATAGATAATTCAAAAATTTTAATATAGCATGTATTTGAAGCATTATTTAATCAGTGAAACGTAAAGTAGCTTATTAGAGTAGAGCATGAAACAAGACTCTTCCATAATATGTATTTTACTAAGTGAGCTTTATTATTAACTTTTGGCCAATAAGAGATGTGACCTCCTTTCTTAATGAGAATTCTCCATTTAGAATTTAGTGAAGTGTAATTTAAGGAGGTTTCTCTGCCACTGTTTCATCCTCTTACCTAATTGCAGTTGCCCTTCTATTCTGTCTTTATTTTTACCACGCTGTATATAATCAGTAATGATATTGAGCCTATCATGAGCAAAGCATTTACTTTTATCTTGCTCTTACAATAGTTGTCATGAAATCATCTATTTTCCACATACCTAAATAAGTCCCATCAGTTAACAAAATCAACAGGAGTATTTGGTTCAGAAGCCTCTGAGAGAGAGAGAGAGAGAGAGAGAGAGAGAGTGTGTGTGTGTGTGTGTGTGTGTGTGTGTGTGTGTGGTATAAGAGGCACTAACACAAACGTTGAAAGTATATTATAAACATTAACCTGTATTATAAAAATTAACTTTCAAAGGCAAGCGACTGCTTATGTAGGTTGATGTTCACTTTGCTGAGGGAATTCTTTAGACTAACATCTCATATGATCACTGGGTTGTGGGCCTATGGGGGTTTTGAGCATTCACACTTAGTATTTACCGAGAGTAGTGTATTTCTAAACCTAATATCTTGTTTATTGACAAATTTACCCATTGAGATGTGAATATACTTGAATTATTCATATCATTTCTTCTGTTCCATATCTGTGTGTGGAACTTAGATCACAGATTGTTTTTTAAAAGCCCAACTGCTTGGTGAAATTGCTCAAGACTGGAATCATACAAATTGATATATCTTAATTACTGATTTTAATACCTTTCTTTTGTAGGTGATTTTTGGTAATCGTTGACATTTTTTAAAGCAGTATTGGCTCTAATCATTATGCTGAAAGCAGCTATTTGAGTAGATACAGACTGAGTTAGAAATATTTCTTCGGGGACAATAGAATAACAAAGAGGGAAAACCCCTCCATCAATAGTCCTGTAGGAGGATGACCTGAGCCTTCCACCTCCACGTTATTCAGGAAAAAGTTCCTCTGAGGGGCTTATACCAGCGTCTTGTTGCTCCAAGAGTCACAGCCTGAGGCATCATCATGGATTTTCAATGAGGCTGTGTCAGAAGATAAATTAGTTTATTTCTGCAAATAGGAAAAATAATATTATTATACTTGAATAGTTTGAAAATGATTCATCAGCAGTCACTATGCTTTTCTGAAATTAAATTGTAACTTGAATAAAAGATGCATATTCATGATATAACTGGGTGACAGGAAATATCAAGATAAAAATGAAAAACATCTAGTGAATTATTTCCTAAAATACTAAAGCTTGACATTTTATAAAATAACAGCCAAGTTGTAGACTGATTTTTTTTCTTCTATATTGACATTAGTATTTGCCATCATGTAGACACAAAATAAAAATATCATGACCACAAGAGTAGGATTTGGATTGATAGTTACTATTCTTATTTTGTGCCTTGATTTGCTACAGTCAGAAATTATTTGCAGCTAATTTGGCTGATAGCACAGAGGAATTTCTGTTACCTAAGGTATCTGGATGCTTCTTTAGGCCATTTTAAAAATAAAGCCACCAAAATCTATATATCAAGTGAATAGAAAAATAATGGTTGTGATTTAGATAATGTTTCTTAGAAACAGTATTATACACATCAAAGTTCATTTCAAATAAAAGAAAACAATGCAAAATGTCCTCAAAACTGCAGGATTTGATATCCAGTTTTATAGGAACAGCGTTTATTTTTCCTATAATCTTTTATTAAGCAATGAATATTATGGAGAGCAAGAATAATGCCTCTCTTCATACTTTAATAAGAAAAGAATTAATATGCTTCTACTGTGAAAATGGCAGATTTCTAACTAAATTTTCATTAGAAAAACAAAGAAAGGAAATATGCTTTTTTTCCATTTAAGATTTTCAGACTCATTTTTAAAACATTCTGATAGTAAGCTGTTCTCTAATGCTCATGTAATTGATTCAACTTGCTTATTTTATTCTACATCAATCTTATTTTATTGATAAAGTTTGGTTTAATTAACATTCAAAATTGGGTTCCACTTAATTTTTTTCTTTATTTTATATTCATATTAATTCCAAGTATATTGTTTAATTTTTTTTAACTTTTTTTTATTATAACAATATAGTCTGACTAAACATAGTTGTTAAAGAGGATAGAAATGTCAGGACAGTGTAAATGATGTAAGATGAATTGTATATGTTCTGTAAGAATTTCTCACAATATTTTCATAGTTCCAAAGATACAACATCAACCAATGCTGTTTTTCATTTTAAAAAACAACCCAAACCAAAACACAAACAAATGAAAAAAATAGAAGTTTTGAGATTTTCTCTGGAGAAAACATTTTTTATTCATACTATGGCTGAAAAAACATGCTGTTTAATCATATCGTTTTGTTCTAAAGCTAAATCAACTCAAGAAACATGGTTTCATACAGATAACAAATCTCATAAATAGATAAATTGTTAATGTAATTGGAAATAATGTTGCCAAGAAATGTAGGATATTTATTTACCTGTTTATATGTTGACTTATTTACCACTAAATTTAAATAATAGCACTGAAACTTAAAAAGTCTTATAAAGCATTTATGATCTGAATTGCATTGTTCACGTATTAGGTAGATGTGATTTTCTTCTCTAATCCAGTGACTGCAACATACAGAGGTGAAGTGCTTTACTGACTGTCATTTTCTTTGCTTTCCACAGAGTGGTTTCACCCCTTTGCACATCGCTGCCCACTATGGAAACGTCAACGTGGCAACTCTTCTTCTAAACCGGGGAGCTGCTGTGGACTTCACAGCCAGGGTATGGATTAAAATAGTTTCTTTTTATTTTATTTTATTTTATTTTATTTGGCCATGTGGCCCAGCTTGCGGTATCTTAGTTCCCTGGCCAAGGATTGAACCCGGGCCCTTGGCAGTGAAAGCGTGGAGTCCTAATCACTGAACCACCAGAGAATTTGGCATTTTACTAAAGTAAAAGTTAACAATGATAAAGATTTTATTTCCTTTTCCTTGCCTGGATTTATTTGTGCTGGAGATATTAGATTTTCCATTTTTTTCCCTTCAAATCACAGGAAGTCGTCACAACACAACACGTGAAAAATAGTGTGTCAGTTCACATGCATGCAAATCATTTGCAATAGGGAAGATGTTGATTCTGACATCAGTATGAGCAGTTACATTTAAAGGTCACACCATGAACAAGCAGCTTCAAGTCGATAAAAAATTAAACTGTTAAAACATTAGGTATAAAATGTATAACTACATTTATAGTATGTCCTAAGAGTGACTATAGGGCATACAATTTGACAGGGATTTTTTTTTTTTTTTTTTTTGTTATGTTGGGTCTTCGCTGCTGCATGCGGGATTTCTTTAGTTGCAGCGAGCGGGGCCTCCTCTTCATTGCGGTGCGCGGGCTGCTCATCGCCGCGGCTTCTCTTGTTGCCGAGCACGGGCTCTAGGCGCGCGGGCTTCAGTAGTTGTGGCACACGGGCTCAGTAATTGTGGCTCGCGGGCTCCAGAGCACAGGCTCAGTAGTTGCAGCGCACGGGTTTAGCTGCTCCACAGCATGTGGGATTTTCCCGGACCAGGGATTGAACCTGTGTCCCCTGCATTGGCAGGCAGATTCTTAACCACTGCGCCACCCAGGGAAGTCCCAGGATTTTTTTTTTTAATAAATTGAGAATTTGCTCATATGAGGAGTCTTACTGAAATAGTAAAAACATTATGTTGTGTTATAGTTTTAATGGTATGCTTTCACTGGAAAGAATTCACTTACATGACTGTTATAAAACTCAGTGTACTTAATATGAATCAGTAAATGCGGGACTTGAATATTTGCAAAATCATAACACACCAAAAAATCAGGTATACATCCTTGACCTAATGATGGTATATGATAGCCAAGGAAAGAAATACATATAATTCATGTATACAGTATTTTTGTCCTTAGAAGTCTTCTTCTCTGAAACTACATTGAGTTATTTTCAAGTTTTTCATACTGAATTATTCTGAAGAAGGTGTTTTTAAGAATCATTTTTCCATTGGGTATTGATATGTATATGTGTACTCTATTTTTAAGCATAGTAAACTTTAGGATCCCAGAATCTTTAAGTGCATAAGTGTTATAATAAGAAAGATAGACTTTAGCCTAGGGCTCTATCTAGGTAGGATCTGAAATTTTGTTTCCATTGAGTATTATGCCAAAGTGCTCCCTTTGTCTCTTGACTGTGATGTGTACATTCGGTACATATGTTGTAGTTATTGACTAACTTAATTATGCAGTTTCATTCCATTTATCATTCTCTACAGTGCTTTGTGGTTTGTGTGCTTTTTTTGTTCCTTAAAAATCAAAAGCATTGAAACCATAGAAACCTCAGATAAAATTACAAAATAGGTCACAATCTCCTTTGTGCTGATACGAAGCCATCACCATCATGCCCTGTCATACCCAACATGCTCTTGTTTGGTCTTTCCACGGTGTAGAATGGAATCACTCCTCTGCATGTGGCTTCCAAAAGGGGAAACACAAACATGGTGAAGCTCTTACTGGATCGTGGTGGTCAGATCGATGCCAAAACCAGGGTGAGTGTCTCTGTTCTTTCAACTTCCTACCAGTATTATTTTTTGTATTCTTTTAGCAGACACTTTAAAATACCAGTCCCTAAACACAGGCAATGTGTTTTCAAGGAAATTGCTTTCTTGGATTCGATTTAAACCTCATACAGCATTTAAAGGTTGCACATCATATGTAAAGTGGAATTAATATTTGCTCATAAGTGCCTGGAGAAACAGAATGCTAGCCTCTCTCAATGAGACAGTTTTTCAAGTCCTTGCTTATTGATTTTCATGGAACAAAGATCAAAGATTGAACTTACTCATCTCTGATTTGGCTAGCTGTAAGTATCAAGAACCCAAACTCATTTGCATACATTAAGCTATGAGAGTGTGGTGTTTATGTAAAATATTTTAATACATGTTGAAAATCTTTTGCTTCAAACTTTTCAGCTCCTAAATCATTTTTCTTAAGTGGCTATGCTATAGGGATCTGAGCAGGAGATCTCCTATTATGCTTACGGAAAAAAAGGCATACAGTTATTATGTTGCACTTTTACTCATGTCAGCTGGCTAAGAGGCAGTGCCCTTCATTCATTTCAAACTTGTTGAGTTAAATATAATTCTGAGTCTTTACGTACTCCCAACAAATAAATAATAAGATAGGCAGGACAGTACACCTGTTGAAAGTGCAGACTTTGAATGCAGATTACCTAATTTCAAAGCCTGCTTCTACTGCTTACAAGCTGAATGACATTGGCAATTTACTTGCCTTCTCTGAGCTTAGGCTATAATACTACCTACTTCATAGGGTCGTTTGAGAATCAACTCTTAGGTATTTTTTAAGTGGCGTTAAGTAAATTACTTAGCTACTCATAATTTTTTATTATGTAATGGAAATTATGCACAATTACTTGCTTAAACTAAACTAGTATTGTACTTTAATATTAATCCTCTGGAGTAGACTTGATTAATCATAGACTTAAGTAAAACTTTAAACATTCCTATTATATAAAATTTTGAAATATATGGTGGAAGAAGTCTGTGGAAGTTAGTAGATAGAGTATGTCCCTTGTGATATCTTATCTTCACTTTGTTTAATTCTGGGACTTTGCATTCTCATAGTCCAAGGAATAAGGATCTAATTTAATTACCTTGCAAATCTTGAGGCTAACAAATATTTTGTTTAATAAACCTTATCATCTTTGAGCTTCTAGAAACTACACCAGTCGCAGACTATACATTTTGGGTTTTAATGACCTCAGGAAATGTTGCTTTCTTAATCTCATTTCTCTAAGACATTTGGTCCAGAGCACTTGTGTCATATTATCATGTGGGAGTTCTGGAGTGGTTTGCTTTGTCTATCAAGATCTTTGTTGTGGTGTCCATTGTCTTTGCATCAGAGTTTTATATGGTTTCTACCCTTTGATTTGATGGCATGCCTTTTCCCTTGCTATGCTGTAGATGTGCAGAATTTGGAACGATTATATATAATGCTGCATGCTTTGCTTACTTGTTCTCTATATTTAAAGGAAACAGTTTGTGTACCTCCTCCTTTAAGTACATTTCTAACATAATGAGTCCCTTTACACTCACCTTTCTGTTTCTCTTGAGACTCCCTAATAATTGAGAGTACCAATGGAAAGACAGCACTTTGTAAATGCAAAAAACTTTTATCTTGGTCAAAGTCTTAAGGATGCACATTGCTCTTATTAATGCTTTTCTGGAGTATTCATTCATTATTGAGGCAATTGATTTTGTTTTTATTGATCGTCACAATATTTGCTTTATTCTTTAAAAGATGCTCTAATTTGCATTCCCTGCATACATTTGCATATACAATTTAAAAGTCTAACTCCAAATAGACATTGTTTTTTCATGAAAGAGTAGTAAGAAATGGAGAGAAATGGATTCTTATGCTAGTTCTGCCATTAACTAATTGTTCTTGAGCAAGTTAACAGTGAAATGTAAGCCTTGGTTAATTATTCTTGAAGGGAATATTTGGACTGTATTTCATCAGGTGTAGCCTTTAGATATAGCAAATAAATGGAATTTCATTCAAGAATTTATAAAGTGAAAATGGATTTTCTAATTATACATTGTACAGACATTCTGTTCATTTCTTCCTTAAACAAATAATTATTGATTTCCTACTTGGTGTTGTGAACCCTAGAGATAACAGTAGTTAACAAGACAGACTATATCCCTTTACTCAGAGATGCAAATCAACAGTACCCAAGGGATTAGGTTAGCAGTGTACTGGTAAAAATTTAATAATCAGCTCTTCAAAAAAATAAAATAAAAAGCTCTGATTTGTAACCTTTGCCTTTGATGATTTCCATGGTGTAAATACTTCCATACTTTCACCATGGCCAATTGGAGCTACCAATATGGTATCACTGAATGCAGAATTGGGAAAAGATGTGCAAAAAAATTGACTCTCACTAGTGTGTGCAAACTGGTTCCAGTGCACCCTAAGGATCAGTCACAATAATGAAGGTGGTGCTGAGCCTTTCCCTGTAAGTGAAAATACTTCCTCATCTCTAAGGAGTAGGATTTTAAAAACAGTTAGGTTCTTTCAGTTTTGGCTATAACTATCAGACCTGTATCCTTCTTACCAAAAGTAAAATCAAGTAGGAGGTAAATACTGAAATGCAGTACTGTGGTCTGGAATCAGGAGGCCAATTCTGGAACTATAATATATATATATTTTTGGAACTATAATATTTGATTACTAAGGGAATATGGTTTGCTTTTTCTTTTGTCCTTTAAAAATATATTTTTAAATTAAAAAATGTTATACTTGTTTTTGACTATCTTTTTAGGTAACACGATAGTGTGTCTTTATATGGAATTTCAAATAATATTATTGTTTCATTTTTTTCACAGAGGTCTCAATTTCCCCTAGCAGTCAAATTAGTCATAAACATTCTAAATTTAGTATGTTCCATCAAAAATTTTCCCTTGGTCTTATTATTTTCTCACTTGTAATGTTTTCATTATTAGGAGAAGAGCAAGATATATAAAGGCTTTGGGGTAATTAAAAAAAAAATCATACCCGTAGTTTCTGCACCACTTTCACCAGCACTATGTCAATCACTGAGACATTTTGCATCTCATTGGCATTCTCATCATTGACTAGAATCTAGTGTGAAACTCTGAGACATTTTCACCAGAGCCCTGGTTTTCTGGTATCTGGAAAACCTCATTTTAATGTTAAAACAGAAACATTATAGCTAAAATGATATTATTAATTCAAGTTTTATTAAAGGCATTATTCATTTTTTATTTTTAAACTTATTTTTTATTTAAATGTGGAAATACTTCCTATAAGGATTATGGCTAAAATATTGAAATACATATTTCAATGAAAACAATAAAAGTATACAAAAAAACATTAAAGGATGATGAATTAAAAACAATACATCAGAAAAAGGGATCACCCTTGCTATTTGTTATTAGGAGTAATAATTAAAATAATAACAATAGTGGCTACCAGTTGTCATATGCCCACTATGTTCTGGGCACCCTGCTAAGTACTATACAAATATCATCTTAATTCATCTTCCTAACAACTTACAAAGTATTATTATTTTCTTGTTGAGAAAATATAGAGGTCTCCATTTGAGAAATGAGACTACCAAGGCGAAAAATGAGTTCCAGAGGAGTTATATAACTTAACCTAGGACACACAGCTTAGTAATTAGCAGAGCCTATATTAGTACACAGAATTCAGGGTACATTGCTGGAAGAATAATCTAAGCTGAGAGGGGAGAGAGGAAAAGATAAGGAAAGAAATGGTCATAAGAAGCTAATGCTGTGGGTTACCAGCTAGATGAATGGTGTCCCTTTAAGAATTACTGACATCACCATGTGATTTGAACTGATTCCAGCGAAGAAAAAGAGAGAACACAGGGAAGGGGACTCTGGAGGGGAGGAAAATGTAAACTTCAAACGCAGTCTTAAGAATTTAAAAAAAGAAAAAAAAAAAAGATAATGAACAGATCATAGTCTCTAAGAGTAAAAACTAAATTAAAAGAGTAAGTTAAAAAGTTCTTGAATACAAAACCTTTTGATAAAGATTTTATGGGGGACAATAATGAGACACTGCACTTTGTAGAAAATATCCAAAATCTACCCAGATTGAGCATGTTGGGCAACTTGAATTTGATATAACTCACATATCCTTTTTAAGAGCAGATAAACTGCATCGCTGAACTGTAAGATTTAGACCCAATTACTTAATCCTTATTGTTACTTGATGTTCTTGCGGGTTTATTAAGTGTTCTCCATATTTTCCTATTGTTGTTCTGAGAGCATTTTAGAGGTTTCAACGTGATTACCCAATGAATATTTCATGTAATCCATAGAAAACAATACTCTACCTTTTTAAAAATGATGTAAGGCAGCATCCCCTCATTTTTCAAACAAGGCTATAAATTAAACAGGGTAAGAAAAAGCATCCTCATTTGAAATATCGTGAAGCTGAGCCTCAGAGAGCTTCACCCATGATGGGCTGATCTGAGACTCAGACCCAGAGCTCTGTGATTCCAGGGCCTACCCGCTGGATTGGGCACATCATGCCTTCATTCGCTGTGTTGGATTTCTCAAACTCTAGATCTCAGTGAAGCTCCCACCAAGAATATGTTTGAGAAATCAAGCTGTATCTAACTGCTATTTCACTTATATAGCAACCAATGCTCTGTGTTTCCACCATAGGGCACTGAGGACAAGATACAAAAGCATCATCATTTTAATCACTTTGCCCGCACAGTTTGTCTTTTAAGCTCCTTTTGGCAAACTTTAAAATAACTTGGCATCCCAACTACAGTAGTTACATACTTTTTTCTCAAAAGACAGTCTTTTCATGCTAATTCCCAGGTAACCAAAACTGCAAGGTCTGTTTTGGTTATTTAGTATCTCAATACTGGCTAAATAGGTTTAACAAAGCAAGGAATAATTATCATCAAGGTCCTAGACAAAAACAGATGACACACTCAAATTTGATAATTTGAATAGAGATTATTAAAGGGCTTATTTATACCATTGTGGCTGGACTGAAGGGGAGGCACAAGGGATAGTGGGGTATCCTTGGGGCTAGTTAACAGCAGGGCTCATTATCAACCCTAGACCTGAAAGGTGAGAAGTAGAAGAGGTTACCATCCTTTCAAAGGAGAAAACTGTATGGAGAAGGCTGCTTTGGCAGGAGCGTAACCTTGGGCAAAGAGTCACAGCCAGATCTAGTAGATCCTTCAGGGAGTTGCTTCCTTGTCTTGCTGCAGATCCCATTGGCCAGCCCCAACCAGAAGCCAGAGGGCAGGGTAGCCCACTGATACAATCGAGAGAGATCAGACCAGCTGACGAGAAACAGTGGAGAAGGGAAGAGGATGGATCTGGAAGGGCAAATGGAAGATAGCTAGCTTAGAAATCCCAGAATGTTGGATCGGGAGGAGTGTTGTAATCCAGGTGAATTATATTTATTAGGAGGAAAGCATAACCCAGAGATATGGTCCATTAGAGCTCTGGGTAAATCAGAAGCTTCTAAAGTCCTCTTAGCTGCTTGTCATCCCTCATTTTCTAGACCGCTACCTACCCTCTCAACCACTTTCCCTGAGACAGTCCTTTAAGTCTGAAATCACCAGTTAATTTATGTAGTCATGATTTTATTTTCTGTTTCACTTCTTGCCCATTGTTCTTATATTTTGCCTCATATTTTCCAGCTATTCTGCTTTTTGGCCATGAATAACAGAAATAAAACCCAAAAGACAGAGGGTATTTGGAGATTGCTCTAAAGAGAGATAAAACCCAAAAGACAGAGGGTATTTGGAGATTGCTCTAAAGAGAGAGAAAACCTAAAAGACAGGGTATTTGGAGATTGCTCTAAAGAGAGATAAAACCTAAAAGACAGAGGGTATTTGGAGATTGCTGTAGAATCAGAAACTACCTGTGAGGTTATCAGGGTCAGAAAGTTTTATAAATAGCATAACATACAGTTGGGCCTCCCATTGCAGAGCACAGGCTCCGGACGCGCAGGCCCAGCAGCCATGGCTCACGGGCCCAGCCACTCCGAGGCATGTGGGATCTTCCCGGACCGGGGCACGAACCCGTGTCCCCTGCATCGGCAGGCGGACTCTCAACCACTGCGCCACCAGGGAAGCCCTAAATTTAATTTTTGAAAAATAATTATGTATTTTGTAAAATGATGAAAAATATGAGTGGAAACCTTTAGAAGAATGTGAAAAAATAACCCTTCCCTTTTACGAGCCTCAGGAAGCTCAGGAGAATTTATGGAAATAATAGCAATTCAAGAGAGAAGATAGACAAATTAGATTAAGAAGAATTTTTAGGAGTTGTGTTAGGACAACCAGAAGGAAAATAGTATAACAATATAATCTCTGGGTGTGGCTCCAGGCAGGTAGGGCTTTCAAGTTCAACAAATGCAACACCCTCTGCTTTTCCATCTTCCTAAATTTGCAAACACATGACCAGCCACGGTGTTTTTTACATTAAACTTCCACACATGGGATTTCTCTTGCCCTCTCCCTCTTTCTGTTTTGTCTCTGTCTTTCTCATTCTCTTTCTCTCTGCCAAGATCTCTGTCTTGTTTTCTCTCTTACTGTTCTTAATTATTTAACTGATAGCAATTCTATTACTGATCTACTGAGTCACTAGGGCTGAGTTTCAGAAACCCTGTCTTCAAGGTGGCAATAGATACAATCTTGTTTTTTTTAAAAAAAGTGAACTCAGGCCTATCTTTCATTCTTTTGGCAGGATGGCTTGACGCCCCTTCATTGCGCTGCAAGAAGTGGACATGACCAAGTGGTGGAGCTTCTGCTGGAGCGGGGGGCTCCCTTGCTGGCAAGGACGAAGGTGAGTCATTATGAGGAAGATGGGATCCAACAAACTCTTTAAGACATTTTTTTGATAATCTCTGTTCTTCTTGAAATCAAAGCATCAGCCAAGCATATTCTAGTTGCTCAATATTTGTGTTCAAGGAATGAGTAAAAGATATCAAACTTTTTAAATTATTTAAAATAAAAAAATGCATTAAGATGTATTAAATGTATAACTTCAAGTTCTTTCTATATTTTTACCTGCTATTCTCTCTGCAGATGGAAATGTAAATATTACTCTATTATACGTGAATGAGAATATTATATATAAGTGAGAAATTTCTTACATTTTATTAGTCTACATTTTTATGATTCTCTGAGATGACTATAAAATATATATAAAAACTGTCTTTTATAAAACTGTCTTTTAAAGAAGCACAAGTAGCAATACAAGATAAGTCTTTTGGCTCTCCAATCTTTATCCCTTAGACAATACTAGTAGAAAGAATTACTCACCGGTGGTGTTGGTTGATTATAATTGGGATTAATAGGTGATGTGGAAAGCATGAGTTAGGATAGACCAGCTACAAAGAACCAATAAACAAGCATACTGTTCTCTATGGCACAGTACATCTAGTATTTTTTGTCTCATTTCATCAACATGCCCAACCATGGGGAAAACTCTTATCCATATAGATAGAAACCAAGTGATGAGCTGATTTGTTGGAGGTTTTCTTTGGGTTACCAGAAAATATCATGAGACGAAATTTGAAGATAATCACACAGAGTTATTTAATGGGACATGTAACAACCCTTGGATCCTTAAATACAACAAAAATTTAGACAAGGGACATGTCTTAATATTTTCCCCCTATTTCATCTCCCCCATCCCCTGAACATGATTCATATCAACTGATGCTGTTACTAGGGTAAGGTGAGAAAAATAAGGCAGCAAATATTTTTAAATTTATGTTATATCTTAATTGAATATTTAGTTGATATCATTTGGAGCAAAACTGGCCCACACATTCAAAATTTGTATAGAACGAACTCAGTCTTTAGAGATGTGCCACGCAGATCATGAAAGGGTGGCTTCAAACCAGAAATATATGAAGATGAGAAATAAATCATCTGTGTCATTTTTATTCTCATGCCTATACTGAGAATGTTGTAGAGATCTGTCTTTAAAATGTAACATTTTGGGCTGGGTCATGCAAAGATAATTATGGAAAGTTTTCTTGAGGAAACGGATTGAAATTTAAGTGGAAATAGCAACATTTCAGACTAGTCATGTTATAACCAGTAAAAGGCCTATCTCAAATTGAGGGTAGGTAGATATACTGTTGCACAAACCATAAAATAATCTCATCTACAGAATCTGCCAGTAATTGTCATATCACTAATGAAGACCATGGGTTACCTAGATGGAACATTTTTAATGGCCTTCTTGTAAAATCAAATATCATTCATATATAAGGATGCAGCATAAAGCATCATATAAGGTTACAGCATAAAGCATTCATAGGTAAGCATACAGCATAAAGCATCTGTGGCTGCATAATCTGCGACTGTCCTACACTGTTGAAATCACCTTCCTGGTTGAGAATGTTGGGCCTTTGGCCTATTCTGGCTTCTTTATCCGGACAGTTTCTGCTTCTTTGAATATAATGACTGCCAAACTAAATCCTTGGTCAACAGTTATTTTCTAGTGACTGTATTTGCATTGATTAGTAAGAAAGGACAATAGTCCCCTTCTTTTAATGGGCAAATGTTTTCTAATTTCGCTTTTTCCTATAAGCTTGTTTATTAAATTTTTAAAAATGAGAGTCTCACCTAGACTAATAATTATCAGTGAACTACTTGGCTGTCTTGTATCCCTGCTGTTGACCTTCTCTGAGGATTAAGTCTAAAGCTGTTTTTGGCAGTATCAATGATGATAAATTTAGATTATCCTCAAAATTTTAAAGTTGGGAGGTCATTGACACATGGTCCATACTTGCCTTATACTTTTCTAGCTCTTATCTGACTGCTTTCTCCAAATCCAGTTTACGCCTCATGACAGAAAAAAGAAGTTGCAGAATTTCCGAGCAGTGTGGATCTAAGAGATGATCAAAGTCTCCTTCTCTCCCTGATCCACCCACTTGCTCCTCCTGCATACACTTTCCCCTCCATTGAGAAGTAAAGAAATTCATGCAGAGAGATGAACTGAATGTAGATTTCTATGTATGGAACTGGATACAGATAATTTGAGCATCAGCTATTACTTGTTTTTGTACATCTAATATTGCCCTGATAATTGTGGGCCAACTGAATTGCTACATGTACTATATATTCATTCATGAAAGACCTGTTAATTTTTGCCTAAGAATATCACAGTTATGAAATTAAACATTCTCTTATCTTTCCTCTCTGCCAAACATAATCTGCTGTATGTTTAGGTGTCAAGTGGAAATTATTTTTCTCTGCTACCAATGGTTCCAGTGATCAAGAATTGTTTGTCGTGTTTCAGAATCTGAAAGTAATGACTAAAATGTGGTCTTGGTTTGGTTTGGTTTTGATGCGCAGAATGGGCTGTCTCCGCTTCACATGGCTGCCCAAGGAGACCACGTGGAATGTGTGAAGCACCTGCTGCAGCACAAGGCGCCTGTTGATGACGTCACCCTGGACTACCTGACGGCCCTCCACGTTGCCGCACACTGTGGTCACTACCGTGTAACCAAACTCCTTCTGGACAAGAGAGCCAATCCAAACGCCAGAGCCCTGGTAAACCTAGCCCAGTCCACATTAACTGAATACAGATCGACATAAGCAAACCCGCATTGATTGACCAATGGTTGTAGGCACAGCAGTGCATGGTTATAGATGTGTAGTTAATTCTAAGTTTGTCACCTCCCACAAGCTGCCTGCCTACTTCATGCCTTCACAGTTTGCTATTAAATGATAGCAAGGATAGATTTAAGAGAACACCAAGGTAACATTTCCATAATTAGCAACTCATAGGTATGAAACCTCTGGAGTGATAGCATTTTTAAACGGAAAATAGAAGTTGAAAAATAGGCAATTACCAAGTAAGTTCTAGACACCTCTATATAGAGTCAGAATAAAATTGTAAAAAAGTTGAACTTTATTAATTTCTTTTTGACAAAGAAAGTTTTAAAGTGGCGAATAGATTTTACTACGTAAGATAATGTAAAATGTAAGCCTGTGAAGAATTCACTTGGAGATATTCCTTATTGACCTGATTACTCAGCCACAGGCTAATGGAAAAGTAATGCTTAGGGTCTTCTTGCTTCAGGAAGCATTTTATATAAACTATTTCAGGAATTGCTCAGGAGAAATCTGCAAGAGGCTGTCCCTAGAGCAGCTTCTGTTTCTCCCAAGTTCTAATATTGAATAAATCTTCTTGCTTCACTTATATTTTAACCATAATCATTGGAAGTATTAGACATGTACTAATTTATGCCTCTTGTTTCTTAATTCTCCAACTAAAAGCAAACCCTTTTTTCTGTTTGTTAAATGGTTTATGTAAGTTAAATTAGTCTGCAGATCTTTTAAGTGCTGCACATACATGTAGCTATTTATATCTGGCTTATTACACAGCTCATAAATGGGAAATCACTTAACAAATATTGTGAACAATAATGTCATTAGGTTAAAGAAAGTCATATGCTTTCCTGAGAACTGCTAGTGTAGAAAAATATTGACTGATAAACAGTCCCTATTGGGACATGCAACATTGTTAACTAGCAGAATAGATACGATTCTATATAGAGACATCATTGTTCAGATAAAAATATAATACTTAAATATAACACATGAGGATTAAGCATGGGGCTAGTTAACAGATTTTTATGTAGTTTCCCCTAATTGCTGCACATTAGCCCAGTATGGAAAGTCAGAAAATACCTTAAAGACTTCTCCACATTCCTTTGCTTCTAAGAGATACCTTCTTCCAGTTATTCCAAAAATTCTCCATACTTATTTTGAAAATATTTGGGAACTTAATAATCATTTCTTTTTGAAACAAAATGTATGTGATTGACATCAGTTATAAAAAATATGTTATATTAAAATATAAGAAATATAACTTCTGGGTATTAAATATTATCAACATAAATAATGATTTCCACTAACATGCAACAACTCCTCATAAAAACTTTTTAATATAAACATAACTTCTGGATATAAAAAAATTATCAACACAAATAACGATTTCTGTTAATTTGTAACACCTATTCCCTAAAGAAAATAGTAGCTAGGCTGAAACATTTATTATAGTCATGTTCTTAGATTTTTGAAGTAAAACAGGTAATGATTTTTCCCTTTAAGAAATAGCTCATCATCAGAAAAACACATGCTTATCTTTGATGCATCTTTAAGCCATTCCATAATCTGACCAATCAGTATACTTTAAAACATTTTAGAACTTGTAAAGTATAATTGCCTCCGTTTTTTCCTTCTTGGAAGAGTAGGCCCATGTAATTTTCTTCCTTTTTGTTTTCTCTGTAACCACGCGAGCAATGCCATACCTGCCCACCACATATAAACCAAGTTCAGAACCTCCAGGAATACACCACCACTTTCTCTCTAAATCCAACACCTACAGCACTTGAAGAAATGGTCGCACTACATGAGGATGTAACATTACTGCCTGCAATGTGCCAGCATGGAGTTGTGTGAGAATCATTTCTGCATGTTTTCAACTAACTTGATTGTCTTTTGCACAGAATGGTTTTACTCCACTGCACATTGCCTGCAAGAAAAACCGCATCAAAGTCATGGAACTGCTGGTGAAATATGGGGCTTCAATCCAAGCTATAACAGAGGTAGAAAAATGTTTCAGCTTGTCACGAAACATTCCTTCTCTTACTCCTTCTTCCCCTTCCTTCTGCCCATCTTCTGTCCTCTTCACTCAAGCATTATTTATCTGAAGAAGCCCCAAAGCCCCCACCGGTGCAGAGGAGTAAAACTGCTGTCGCTTTGTTTCGCAGTCTGGCCTCACACCAATACATGTGGCTGCCTTCATGGGCCACTTGAACATTGTCCTACTTCTGCTGCAGAATGGAGCCTCTCCAGATGTCACTAACATTGTGAGTATGGCTTGGGTCAGAATAACCACAGGGAGAAAGAGAGGAAGCGTGTGGGTGTGTAGGGATGTTTGTGTGTGTGTGTGTGTGTGTGTGTGTGTGTGATCAAAGCTCAGTGGCTGAGCTTTGAGAAGAGCCCCCGTGATAACGTATTATTGAAATAATTGCTAGAAGGTCGCTGAGAGGAACCTCCATAGGGTAAGAAATGTTTTAGAAAGTAATAAAATGGAAGCTGTGGAATAAGACTGTGTCAGCTTCCTGGTGCAGATAAATTGAACATGCATCTTAAATACACTTATAAAACAAAATACATTTTAAAAGCTCCTCTGAACGTGAAGAAATGATTGGAATAAAATGTTCAGGACTCACTCTACTTGCTTGAGTGAATCATATTCCAGGAAATTTTGGTTAAAATATTAAGTCAGTACCATAATCAATTCTATCAAATGATTAACCAGAGATAGACCAATATTAGAAGATTTTTTACTTGATATCAAATTCTCCCTCCCTCCTTCAGTTACATGGATTTTCCATTTTCTAACCTTACTTTGATTTTTCCTTTTGATTTGGTTGGCTGAATTTGTTATAACTTGCAACTTTTTCATGTATCCTGAAATCCATGTTGGTCTTCAGACAACTTTTGTTCTGACAATAAATGCTGGATATTCCAGAATTCTTCTACCTAATATAAATTAGGATTTTTACTTCCCATTTCTTTATATTTCTCTCATTTTCTTGGAGTCAGCCCAGTTAAACTTTGATCATTGAATACAGATTTTCTCCTGAGCAAGAGAACTTGCTCTGTACAAAATACTGTCATGTGTTTGAAGCTCACCAGGACCCACTGGAATATTGAGATTTTAAAAAAAGTATTCAACAGAAATAACTCCCCAAATAAATCTTAGTGCTTGTTATTAAAATGAATCATATTTTCAAAAGCAATTGGTTTACTATTGTTGCTAATTTTTGGTATTCCATTCCTTTTGAGTTGTGAAATGGAATGTTCAATTTTACTTTTTATTCATATTCCCTTTCATTTTCTCATTTCCTTGTATTTTATACACTGTTTCTGTGCTGAAGTTTCTGATGCATGGACAAAATCCATGTGAAATAAATTTATTTGATTTTAAATATGTGTTAATACCTCTCTTCATATTATTCACAATTGGAGTATAAAACCATCAAAGAATTGAAATATAGTCTGTATTTATACACCCCCCTAATTACAGCTTATGGATCCTAAAGTAATAATATATGCTAATTTTAAATTTCTCCACCAAGGATAAGAGTAATTTCACAACATGCCAATTTGAGTTTAATTTATGGTCACTTCTTAGAACTTTAAAAGAAATCAATAGCATCCTTTTTCTGTTCAGAGATGACCACCTCCCTTTTTAAAATTGAGAACTACACAAACCAGTACCTTTTAAAAGAAGTTCTCTGAGTACTTTCCCACTGTACTGTATTTTCCTTCTTTGCATTAAAATGCCTACAGGATCTCAGGAGCAATGGTAATACTATGTGAAATTATATTATCATAGTATGATAGACAAGTATATTCTATGCAATGCTTGATTGAAATCCCCCATGTTAATTTTTCTGAGGGGAGATTTTTGCAAAATCATCAAAGAAAAGCCACATGAAATGATTGTATGATTTTGCGGCACTCTTAATTTGCTTCTTAACTGACCAATTCCAAATTATTTGATGGTTATGTATTTGCTCCATATTGATATACTCCAATCCGCAAAAAAAATGAAAACAAAACCAAAAAACTATATGGGCTACATATAGATTTTCAAATAAAAAACAAATTTTTATTTGTTAAACAAAATATCAATTAAAACAATAAAAATGTTGACATATTTAGGTTCTTGAATACTCCCAAATTTGGCAATTGCTATATTAAACTTTAAATTCCACCTGTTGGTCATTATAAAGTTCTTCATTTTGTTTTATCTTCTCATTCGTCCATTACATACTCTTTCTCTTCAGCCTTCTCAAAACAAATACTTGAGAGCCTCCTGCCAATGTAATCCTCTTCTCAAATGTGTTTCCTAGTTGCTTTTTGTTTGTTCATTTTAATTTTTGTATGATGTGTCCTTCAGAGAGCAGATACCATGTACATAGGGTTACCAGATAAGATACAGGACTCCTGGTTAAATTTGAATTTCAGATAAACACCAAATAATTGTTTTTAGTATAAGTATGTACCGTGCAATAGTTGAGTCACACTTATACTAAAATAATTATTCTTTGTTGGTCTGGAATTCAGATTTAACTGTCCATCCTGTATTTTGATATGCTAAATCTGGCAACCCTACATTTAGATGAATTTAACTTTCTCTAGCAGTGGGATGCCTGTGAACTGGTGTATTCTCAGAACGTGAGGATATAGCTGCTACATCCAAAACTCTTTGCAGGTTGATTAAGAAACGGTGTGAACACTGACTGCCTGCTTGCTGTGTCAGAGTTGGTCATTTCCTGACCCCAAAGTACCCTACCCTTGAAGCCTTTGTGTGTTGCCTGAAATCATGTTGCATTTTTGAACGCAGTGCTGTCTGTTGTGCTTTGATGCTTTACAACTGATGCAGCCAAAGTGGAAGTCAATGTAGCTGTCAGCAGAGTCAGTTTTAACAACTGGGGGAGGGGCATGAAATGTAGTACCTGCTTTGGACATGAGCATACCCATTCTCCTGCCAGTCTTGTTTTTGTCTCAAAATTCACTCCAAGTGTGAAGTGTACCAATAACTCAATCATGTGCAGATATTATTACCGCAAATCTCCCTTTCCAGAAGGCTCACAAATGCACTTGAAAACCTAGAAAGCCAGTTGTAATACATCTATAATCCAAAGTATTCATTGACAACTGTGGGAGTAGAAAACCCAGCACTTTTGGAGCTGTCCACAATGCAAAGTGGGGGACAATCGAGTTTTTCTCTTCTTACAGCAAATCAACGGATTCATGACTAAGTTCACACTTCATATTATGTTTAAGAATTTCCCCTAATCCTTAAAGTTAATGAGCTTAAGATAAGGAAAACAGGGCATTGAATAAGATGAGGTGCCCAGTAACTAAGAAATGGAACCTACTGATTAAAATATATATACCCTCTTTCATTTTCTTATTTATACTTATGTATAAACAAGGGTAACATAATATAAAAAGGTAAAGGCAATTTACATAAAGGTCAATTACCCAAAAATCATTAAATAAGAATTAAACAAGACCATTGTTTTAAAGTAGAGAGACCATTTGCATATATATATATATGTATATATAATGTTTTCTTTTCTTTGTACATAATGTTTAATACTTTAGATTAGGTTTTATATCTAACTTGTCAATTTCAAATGTGTAAACATCATAAAAACAACTTATTTTAAGCATAAATAAAGGTACTAGAAATACTAAGACTAGTATTTGAAACCTTTTAGATTTTGAAAACCCCTCATTGATAAAGTTTGGCTTGTAAGCATATAAATTCATCGTTGAGTAGGTACTCCTGAGGCCTCTGATTTAACTTCTTATAAGGAAACTCATTTTTTGTCTTCATTCTACTAAAATTAGTAAAATTGTTGTACTATTATAAGACTTAGAAATGGAATAAAGATTTGAGGGGTTTTTTTTTAGAGGCAGGTTTTAAGTGATATAGAAAAGTTAGAAATCATGGCTGTCTGAAGAGGAAAAATCTTGCCATACATCCAAAGTCTGAAAAGTACTGCTGTTCCAGTCATGTTATTTTATGTAATAACATACTCCAAATACATTTACTCTACAAAAGTCAAAAGATGTCATCAGAAAATAAGGCCATTAGAGGATAAATGAATTATCAACAAAAAGAGGATTAGCATAGACATCCAGTTTAATGCTCTCAAATTCAAATCATTGGAATTGAATTTCTCATAACTTCATAAGGAATGGGTCTCTGAATACTAGCAAAAAATGAACTCTGAGCTAAGTACCAAACTAAAGTTTGTCTTAAATCTGGGTTTAAGGGTTTGTTGTGCAAGTAATCAGAAGAAATTATTCACTGGAATTTGTCAAACGTTATCCAGTTACCTCAACCAACGTTGAAATCAATTTAGTTTATTTGGACTAGCTTACCTGGTTGAAATCAACCTTATTTTCTAGTATAGTTGTGGTGACTAAAATAACTTTTATTCCAATATCTTATTCTTTTATAACTGTAAAATTGTTTGAAAGAATGAATCCCTGCTTTCTTTAGAACTACATGTGGTTTTAAAATATGCAGATTGAAAAAAAAACCCTTCTCTTAGAGGCAGTAATTAACAGGCTTCCCAATGAGAAAATTCTCTGATGTCTAACCATCATCCTTCATGCTGCAGGTTAAGCTACCTTTTTCTGATAAGTGTGTCTTCCTTGATGCAGCATGAAGCTACTTGAGGAGACACCTGAAGCTCAGTGCTGCCCACCTCAACTGATGGCACTGTTAACATTGCTTTACTCATCTCTCAGTATTTCTCTCGAGTAACTGTCTGTAATTAAATACGCTCATCAATAACAAGCAGAGGACCTCCTGGGCAAATCAGATTCCTCATATGAACAGTCTTTATCTAGTCTGACAACACAAAGATAAAGCCAAAGTAAAAAAAATAGTTTATTTCAGAAGTAAATTTTGAATTGTGAAAAGAAATGACATGTATGGTAACAGATGATGTGATTTTTTTGCACTGTGTTGACTAGATTGGCAGCATCTAGAGTTTCTCATAAAAACGGGATAGAGCTGTAATCACATATTTAAGTGTGACAGATTTTAGATTTGAAGGATGAAAGGTAACTTCATACCACCAAAAGCAATTTAGGTTATGCCACGTTGACTGTGAAGTTAAACCTCAGGGTATCCTGAATGTTTGGGTAAGTTCACTGGTTTGTCATGAGTGAAAAAAAAAATTAAACGCTTGTCTTATCCTTTTGAAGATGGAGAAGATACTGTTTTTCCAGACTAAACAATTATGGAATAATTATACCTTTTCATAGATTTCTGAAACTTTTGGATATAATGCTATCTTTCACAAAAAGGCACATTTTTATTCTATGCCATGCAGAGCAGTGGGTTTACTTATGATTGAATGATCTTTGTTTCCTGGCAGCGTGGGGAGACTGCACTGCACATGGCAGCCCGGGCGGGGCAGGTGGAAGTGGTCCGATGCCTCCTGAGAAATGGTGCCCTTGTCGATGCCAGAGCCAGGGTAGGTGCTGGTGCTTGCGGTTTTCTTCTGTTACGTGCATGAGTTCTATCCTTAAGAGATGCCACTATTCTTCATCTCTTGATGTGGAAATGCCAAGGACTGTAAGTGAAAACATCAATTCAGTGACAGTTTTTCAGGCAAAAGTGAAATGGTACGGTAAATATACACAATGGAAAATGCACTTCAATTTCAGAAACACTAGCGTTTGAAAAAATAATACAATTTAGTATCTAAGAAATTTGGCATTGACTAACATTTTAATAAATTTTTTTTACCTATGAAAGCCCTTCCACATATATCTTCATTTTCATGAATTTTAACATTTTAACCTATATTATATAGATACTATATATATTAAAATTTATTTCTTACCACCAAAGCCAATCAAATTTCCATAGACATTCCTTACTAGTAACTTAAAGACAAACCATATTCAAAGTTTTAATGTTTCCCTTCATCTGTTTTACTTTCCTCATTTCTATAATGAGTTCTACTTTTCTTCTTACTTTGATTTTCCATATTTAGGCATTCTACCCTTCCACTATTCCAAAATAAATGAATTTTGGCCCAGGAGATTGTGTGATTGGATTCTCCTATTTCTGATTCCCACAACTTGACTTTTTTTCTTCTTCTTTTTAAAAAATGTCCCTTCCCAGTTGCTTTTTTCACCTTCTTCCTTTACACTGAATATTTTATCAATATCTTCTGTTTCCTTTTCCACGCTGTTTCATTAACTTTCACACTAGCACCTTTGGGATTCTCATGGAATATTTAAACACTTTCACTTCTTTTTCAATATTTGATATATCTAAGCTAGAACTCACTTCACCTTGAATCCTACCGTAGTGAGTCCATTTTCAAAACGGTATTGTATTGGAATGAAAACATTCAGCTGGAAACATACAAATTGTCATTTCAGACAAGTCATTTCACTTCTGGGTCTTTATTATTAAAATATAAGGGTTGGACTTAGAAACCTTGAAACTCCTTTCCAGACTTCTTAACATTCTCTGACTCTATGAATTTTATAGCATTTTTTTCCACAGACCTTCATGCAGAATCCAGTGATACGTGGGCCGCCTTCATTACTCTAGTAGTTTTGATTTTTTTCTGCCTTTCTATCCATTGTACAAGTAGTGTAATTTATGTTCTTTGGTACTCATCATTGGCATTTTATGCTCTTATATATTGAATGCTTTTGTTATTCAAACTCTCTTCTTCCCTGCCTTGACATTTTTCTTGTTTCCCTTCCCCACCCCCTTAAAGACTATTTTTTAAAAGCAGTTTTAGTTCCACAGCACAATTGAGAGGAAGGTGCAGAGGCTTCCCATAGGCCTCCTGACCCCATAGTCTTCCCAGTTATGAGCATTCCCCACCAGAGTGGTACATTGGTTGTGAGTGACGAACCTACATTGATACATCATTATTCCCCCAAGCACCTAGTTTACGTTAGGATTCATGCTAGGTGTTGTACATTCTATGGGTTTGGACAAACATATAATAACATGTATCGATCCTTATAGTATCATATAGAGTAGTTTCACTGCCCTAAAAATCCTCTGTGCTCTGCCTAGTCTCATTTCCTTTTAAGTTTACCTGGCAATTCAGCTGTTAAAAAAAAATTTATGGTCCGTCAATGCGCTCTGAATATCTTGAACTTCATTAATTTTACCAGAAATTGTGGTCGTGTTCCTGGTAAATATTTTGTAATCCATACTTAATAATAAAAGGGTTTCTCATGAATCCCTCTTAATATAAAATAAAACTTAATAGTTTGTAGTCAAATTCCCACATGCATGCACTTCTGAAAACTCCCTCTCTTAACCGAATACCATTGCTCTACAATTCACTCTCTTCCAAAGGGGAGATAGTTAAAATTATACCCAGTACTACACTGATCTCCAAGGTCAAGATCTCTGGGTAGTCTGTGTTCTTCTCTATCAGGTGTAGAAATAATACCTCATGGTTATATAGTCATGGGGCTAAGTCATATTTATGCCTACTCCCAATATATAATGAAAGAAAAGTCATATCATCACAATAATATCTCTCAGTTAAAAGTGCAAGCAGCATTCTCTATTCACCAGCCAAGAGCATAAGACATATTTTGCTGTACAGACTGGAAGGCCGGGGCTGCAGTGGCATAAGTTCCTGGGTCAGCCAATGTGCTTGTCCCCAGGGCCCTGCCCTCAGGAAGGTCCTTTCTTGTCCAATGTCCTCCATGGACATAGCTGAGAGGGCCGCTGGGACCTGCCCTTTTAGGAGTTCTCTTGCTTTAGGTGCCCGTATTCTGTTGGCACAATACAGGGGCCTGGCATGTGCTTTAGGGATTGAGCAATCACAGGGCCCCTAGTCTTAAACTCACTTGAAACTTAACTCACTTAAAACTTTAGTTAACTGCTGGTATATATGGTTCCTGGGAATCCTGTTAGCTAGTAACTTACAGCAGAAATTTTATCAAACATTTGAACCCTGTCCCAGCCTTTGCTATTTCTGTCTTTTGGTAAAAGGAGTTGGGGCACAGCAAGTTTCCCTAATTTTGGAAACTAGCAGTGATGGTAAGGCAGAGCTCACGTCTTCCTGGATCAGGCTGTATCACTGTCAGTGATGCTTTATGGTGAGAGAATTATTGCCCCTTATATTTGGAAGAGGTCTAGAGGATCAAGCTGCCCACATTTTTTTCTTTAGCTCTTCCCACGAATATTATCTTCTGTGATTTCCCAATTCTTTGCCTTGGATTGAATTAGCTTTAGCTTGGGGTGGCAAATTCAACTTTTGCAATTCTACAGGGAAACAATTACCCAAGCCTCCAAGGTCTTATAATCTCTGATTACAGGTGGAAAGACTTTCTTATCAAATTTGTAGGTTCTTCCCTTTTCCACTTTCAGATAGGAGCGTACCAAAAGTTGAAGAAAATGGGCAAAACAGCTTATTTCTTAACTTCCTTTTTTTGAGAAAAACAAGTACCTTAATGCTCTGAGAACCAAGAGGCACTGATCGATAATTTAACCAGTTACTTGGCCACCACCAGTCAAGGACTGCTGCTTCTCAGCTATGGATTAAGGGGTCACCATTGCCCTAACGCTCCACCTCACTCACTGAAAACACATGTTAGAGTGTGTCACTTGTAATACCCACCTCAATCAAATTCTGCTGGGCAGAAGTCCAAGCAGGAAACCCAGAAACAACAGATGTTCATGATAGCTCTCCTCAAGTTCTTTGGTCTTTGATTGTGTTTTGCTGTCCATTTATTTTTGTAACTTTTAATTCTCTCCATTCCTCTCTTTTCTCCTCTGTATTTCAGAGAAAGTTGTATCTTTCAAGTGTTGTCTGTCTCCCTTCCTATTGAGAGGCCTCTTGTCCTGTTAGTTTTCTTAGAGGCCATCATATTGTATCTCTTTCTGTGGAAGGAATAGACAAAGAAATGTCTTTAGAATCCAATGCCTGAATTCAAGTTCTGTTTTCATAGCTGCGTAACCTTGGACAGTCCCGGAAAGCTCATTTAATTCCTCTTAATCTCTTTTCACTGGAAAATGGTTGAATAATATATGTTACGCCTTCCTTTCAGGTCTAAGTATAGGACTTGTCAGGTATGCATCATACATGAAAGAAGTTTATAAGGTGCAAATTTTTCTAAAATTCCAATTCTATTGCTAAAATAATTGTACTATTACTGTTTATTATTTAGTTCTTACCACCCTGAAAGGCATACAGTGCTATTTCATCTCTTCCTGTACCTTCCACTTAATACTTTTTTCCTTATAACTTTAAGATAAAGTGCATTTATTTGAACAGTTCTCCCTATTCTGTTCTACCTTCTCCATTCATTCTTAGCCCTGGAAGTTGGCCCAGCTTTTCCTTTCTCACCTTTGTTATGACATGCCCTTGGGCAGATTATAGAGATATACCTCTTTTCATCACTAAGGTTACACACAATTTTCTTTTATCAAGACAGTGGTTTGGCCTCATTTTCTTAACACTGAAAACATTTTCCTGACCACACATTAGAGTCAGGTGATTTCTTAAGCCTTCTCCAGCGTGTCCTTCCTGTCCCTTACACCAGCTGCCTCCTCTCCCTGTTTTTAAATGAGAAGCACTTGGCAAATACTTAACCCCATTTGCTCCTCGCCAGGCTTCCATTTCATCTTTGAAGCCCTGGATGTAAGTCCCAGACCCATCTGCAACGTTTCCTGGAACAACATCTTTTTAAATCAGATTGCAACATCTTCTTTATCCACAGTCTCTCCTTGAAGAAAATAACCAGCATTTGTATCCTTGGCTTGCTGAGTGGAGTAAGAACAAAGTTTTCCCAGCATCCCTCTTTTTTTTTTCCTCTTGATACAGTTCCCAGAATAAATACTGTCTCTTAGTGAAAGCTTTTGGATGAGAATCTAGGTCTTAGGGCTTCTGGACTAGATTTCTTTCTTATTCAGAACCATGAGCTGGTTTATATTTAAACATAAGTGAAGGCTGAGGCCTTAATGAGTTGAGAAACATTTTGGCATGCCCAGAAAACAGTGACCAAGTTCATGGAAATATCTACTTTTTAAAGAATTGAAGGAAGATTTTGTGACCAAACAGGTCATTCTATATAACAAGATATAAATTGTAGTCAGAGTAGCAGTAATTTCCTTTTGGGTAGGGGTTCCTGGAGATTCCAAGAAGACATCATGAAACATCTGAGTGAAATGTATTACTAGTGACGTTTGGTCTGTCCTGGCACTAACTTTTTACTTGATCTGAGTTGTAGGAGGAACAGACGCCTTTGCATATTGCCTCTCGCCTGGGTAAGACAGAAATTGTTCAGCTGCTTCTACAACATATGGCTCACCCAGATGCGGCCACTACAAATGGGTACACACCACTGCACATCTCTGCCAGGGAAGGCCAGGTAGACGTGGCATCAGTCCTGCTGGAAGCAGGAGCCGCCCACTCCTTAGCTACCAAGGTAAGAGGAATGGTTTCATGCTGGCACGGACCAGGAGCAATCCCAAATCATAGAGTGTCAAGAAAGGTAGATCTCCTGTAGGCCTCCGACTTCTTCCTCTTTGAATGTTTTAGATTCATTTTCTAAATGACCAAGGGGGGTTGTGAGATTGCATATAATATCTTCAAAAGGAGGGCTGGATTCTCTTCTTCCAATTAATGCCGGTGTTGTTTCTAGAACTTTATTATTATTATTATGACTTGGCCACGCTGTGTGGCTTGTGGGATCTTAGTTCCCTGACCAGGGATCGAACCCGGGCCCCCTACAGTGGAAGCACGGAGTCCTAACCACTGGACCACCAGGGAATTCCCTCTAGAACTTTAATTAAGATGACTTCCATAAAGCAAGTGTTATTTTCTCTTTACTTTCCATGATAAAAATCTATAATATATTCCCATGAATATATTATAGAAAAAAAATACATTGAGCTAGTATTACTACTGAGGAAGATAATGTTGCATTAGATTGGCAATACTGTATTTGTTGAGTTTTAGTACTACGTTCACTTCACATAATCTTGCATTTTTCCATCCCTGGTGTCAGCTATTACGCCCTTTCTGCTCCCTACACTTTACCAGCTACACAGTGTCTAAACAGAACTGGGCTGGAGAGTCACACTTTATTAGTTGTATTAGTTGTCATCTAACAAGGAATTTTACTTATGTTCAAAGTTTTGAACTAGGGCAGAGTAATTTTATCTCCACTTGATGCATTATATTTGCGATCCCCTCTTTGGACATGACTTAGAATAAAACACAAACACAGCTAGTTGGAGCAAAAGAAATTGGACTAGTACAGAAGAGAAGAAGAATGAGACAGATTACAGCCTACAACAAGTGAATTATTCACAGGGCAAAATAATTCCCACAAATACAACAGTGATTCAGATTACTAAGGAACGGGCACAAATACTGCATCTGGGGGAGAAGGGAGTTTGCAAGTACGAACTGAAGTACTGTGGTGGCATCTGTCCTCTTAGAGGTAGGAACAGCCTGCTGGCTGTTACGACTTACCTGGTTGCCTATGGCTGTAAAACATGCTTTGATGTAAGAAGTTGGTAATTATTCAAATGCTGAAATCACAAGAGTTGAAAGGATTTTTAAAATATTTTTTTTAAAAAATCATAAACTAAACAACAAACATAGAGTTGATCCTTAAACAATGAGAGGGTTAGGGGCGCCCACCCTTCACACAGTTGAAAATCCTCATATAACTTATAGTCTGTCCTCATATCCACAGTTCTTCTGTATCTTGGGTTCCTCATATCCATGGTTCCACATCCTTGGATTCAACTAACTGCAGACTGTGTAGTACTGTAGTATTTCCTATTGAAAAAAATCCACATATAAATGGACCTTCACAGTTCAAACCTGTGTTCAAGGGGCAACTGTGTAATGATAATAGTAATAATAACCCAAGAGAGACTGGGTGATTGTCTCATCAGATGAAGGTAATAAATAAATGAAATTTAGATATATAAAATACAGAAATAGTGAATAAAACATAATCCCTTGTCTTCCAAAGATTTTTAGAATTAAAAATATATCTAAAGCAATAGTAAATTAGGACAGTTAAATGGAAGAAACTATTAAACAAAACAGTTCCACAGTGGAACTGACTGGGGTTCTGAAGGGTAGCTGTCTCATCATCAATAAAGCTATTTAAGTGTTGATAAATATCAGAGGGTAAATGAAATCCTGATGAGATTAACATAGGGGAAGAAGGAAGCCATGTGGTTCGCGAGATGCTTCCCGACCACTATTTTGTGATTCTGCAGTAAAGATTCTATGTGGTTTTGCCTAAAAATAGTTTCCAAATTTATAAAGGGGCCGGACTGCTATTCCAGCAAGACTTTAAGGATAAGGAGTTTAATTTTTCTTTCTTACCACATGGCTTGTCTCAGGGAACTCGACTTCATCCTGAGTGTCACTCCGGTCATTGTGTGGATTGAGTTAGAGGGAAGAGAGCATTAACAACAAATGTTGGCTTAAATGGACTTCCTATATTTGCCCCACACTTGGAAAAAGCAGAAGGTTTACTCTCCTCCAAGGACTTCTTAGTACCTAATGTTCAAAAAAGAGCAAAAAGAAAAATGACATCTTAGCTAAAAATAATTTGTGTAGTGACACTGTGAAAAAGCAGTATTGCTTCTTGAGGAATATTCTGTATTCTGATGAAGGCTTAAATGGTCTGAAGGATAAGCCCTATCTTAGACCACTTAACCCAGGCATGTTTGCTGTGTGTGTTTTGCAAGCCCAGGTCAGCTTTAGAATTCTCCCACTCCCAATATAGTGCCAGAAGAACATGTGATTAGACTGTCTGGCCAAGAGGATGGATTTGAGATCATGGTGTAGGAACTGTGCCATCCTTGAGATCTGAGTCCAGGGACCTAGCTGTATTTGTAACACACTGCTAATTACAGAGAGTGACATTGGTTAGGCACACAAGACATTGAATCTGTACGTGTAAACATGTGTAGGAGAGCAGCAGTTTAAAAGTTTGATGTTAATCAGCTCAACATCCTGCCAGAAGTAGAGTGTATTTTCCGAAAGGAATTGGTCTTATATAAAGTGTGGGTCTCTTGAGACAAGGGATAAAAGTCAGGACGAGAGGTGCTTTTTAAACGGTGAACTGTTTTTGTTCTGTCCACCATTTTATCTTGCTATTTCTGCAGAAAATGCAATCAACTGAATCACAGATAATTTTTTTTTAATCATTGCTGCTGAAATACCCTAAACCTTAAATAAAGAAATTTGGAATTCAGGTATTATAAAAAGGATAGGAAAAACGAGAAGGCCTGGACAGGAGGTACTACTGTCTCAATCCTATTAATTTTAGAGGCAAGAAAAAGACAGGGTTTGTTTTTTTTTTTTTCACTCACAAATCAGAGCCATTTTACTGACACATAAATTCCAAGCCTAGAACGTCAAATTTCAGTCTCTAAGCCCTAAAAATAAAATTTCTTTTGTTCAGTCTGTCAAGCCAAACTCTTGCTTGTTAAACTTTATTCTTTGTCCTAGTCCTTGTTTATGGCTAACATTTAACACTCCCAGTATTTTTCCCAAATGGAGAATCAACGTAAGTTTGCTTAATATGTTAACCAGTAAAAAAAGATTTTGTTAGCCATCACAAAGAAAACTGCTACATTTTACTTTTGTACTTCACATTTTCAGAAGGGTTTCACACCCTTGCACGTAGCAGCCAAGTATGGAAGCCTGGATGTGGCAAAACTCCTCTTACAACGCCGTGCTGCTGCAGATTCTGCAGGGAAGGTAAAAGTTTTCAAGCATATATGTTTGTTATATAACTCGGTCAAGTTGGAAGCTTGGGAGATCTGCATTTCAAGATATTTTGCTCACTCTTCTTAAAGGAATATGAATGTAACGGATGAAACTATACCAAATAGATATGATGGCGGTGTCCATGACCTGCCCACATATACACTGATTCAGAAGGTGTTTAAAAGAGCTGTGCCTCAAATGTGTGTTCCTGTCACAACAGGGCCCAGAACTTCTCTATGTTAAGAAGAATCCTTGGAATGTTAACGTAATAATCCTTACATGGCATTTTAGACTTTTAATTATGGTGGAATCAAGATGCCCTGTGCTAACTGAAAGCTCAACGTATCATTTTCAGTTTTAGTTACGTTTCTAATAAGAAAATCATGAGGTATTTATTTTTATGTTTTCCTATTGACTATATTAATTAATTAACATGGACTTAATCGATACCAGTTTCCTTGCATCCTGGCAGCTTCAGGGCCTCTAATGCTAATTCATTAATACTGAAACTTCAACACACCCATTACAGAATGGCCTTACCCCGCTCCATGTTGCTGCTCATTATGACAACCAGAAGGTGGCGCTGCTGTTACTGGAGAAGGGTGCTTCCCCTCATGCCACTGCCAAGGTGAGGACCACAGAAGGGATTTACAGACTGTAGGGTGTAACTCTAATCTGACTGGACATGGGAATTGTTTTTTAAGCACATGGTGCTGATATAACTGTAACCAGTCCTCGCAATAGTAGCTTTTGGTATTGTCCTTTTTTTTTTTATTCCCCCTACAGTTTGCTTCCACAAAGCCTTTTAAGATTTTTTTTTTTTTGCGGTACGCGGGCCTCTCACTGTTGTGGCCTCTCCCGTTGTGGAGCACAGGCTCCGGACGCGCAGGCTCAGCGGCCATGGCTTACGGGCCCAGCCGCTCCGCAGCATGTGGAATCTTCCCGGACCGGGGCACAAACCCACGTCCCCTGCATCGGCAGGCGGACTCTCAACCACTGCGCCACCAGGGAAGCCCAAAGCCTTTTAAGATTTTTTACAAGTCAGCAAATACTAAGGGGACGTCCCCAGGAACCAATAAAGATGACTCTGATTCCCAACACTCAGTGTTTTAGACACACAAGTATGACTTCTGAGAAATTAAATGTAAGAAAGGCAGTTCAGGTTTTCCCTTCTCTCGTATAAACAGAATGTCGTGATACACCTACCCTTTTATTCACTCATTCCTCCTGACTTCAAATTTTTCACTGTGCTCTATATGAAAGACTCTTTGTTTTTTACATGTTTCATTCGTGTTAACTATAGCATACATCCTTCCAAGTTCCTAGGCTAGAAATGCATTTTGGGGGTATGTGTAGCACCAACTCATAAAATAGCTCCAACTAAGACTTAAACCTTTGGACAGAGTGTTTCCCACCATTTGAGCTGCCTCTTTATTACACTGAAAATATACATAAATGTCATATAACAGATAAAGTCATCACTGTATCTTTCATTTATTCATTCAGTAAATATATATTGAGAAGATGTCATAGTTTATTTAAAAAGAAAAATATTTTTTGTGGTGGGAAAATATTCATGCTATGTTAGATGACATAATAAAGCAACAACTATTACCACTTACATGCCAAACACTGTGCCTAGCATTTTACATGCAATATCTCATTTAATCTCATAATAATCCCATGAGATTGGTATTATAATGATTTCTATTCTATAGATGAGGAAGTGAGATTTAAATAGGTTACTTTGTACGTCCAAAGTCACATGACTACTAATTGACAGAGCTAGGATTTGACCTCAGACAATCTGACTTTAGAGGCAGCACTCTTAACCACTAGGTCTACTGCATCCCAAAGCAGTAGAGGAGAATTATTCCACTTCTATTATATAACTATGTACATATATGCTCACATGTCTATTTAAATTATACACATTATACATATATAATAAAATAGAATACTCTATGTGAAAGTATATTTTGTATATAAACAAATTATATATAATAAACTATTATATATGTATAACTTTGTACCCATACCTATATATAGATCTATATATGTATGTATATATACACACATACACATATTTTATTGCTACAAATATACGGCTTATAATAAAATATTTAAACTGTCAAAAGAGCAGGACAAATTTTTTTATTGCACATACCATTCTTATTTCTTTACAACCCTTTCTCTGTAATCTCATCAATCATGCATTTGTTTTATGTCTTTCTTCCTACTAGATTATAAACTACTTGAGGACATTAATCATGTTATATTCATATTTGCATATCTCTGAGGTGTCTCATTCAGTATTATGTGGGTTCTCAATAAATTTGAAGGAAGAATGAAGACTGAGTGACTATTCCAATGGAATAAAAAAAAATGCTCATTTAACATGCCAGTATTGTTTTCATTAACTTTCTAGGCTGACCATTTTGAACAAAGATATGACTTTATCAACACCAAATACAACACATATGTATAAAGAAGGGATTGTAGTAAAACTATAAAACACGTGCTCTCCTCCCACAATGGGCTCTCAATGTACCAGGGAGAGAAGACCTAACTTATAAAATAACGTGTATGGTTCTTCTAAAGAGACACATGTACCCATGATCTCCAGCCTCTATAGTGTGTGGTCCTTACTCTTTGGCACACGTGAGCAAAGTCCAGAATACTAGGGAGAGCATCCTCTACTCTAGGGTCCACAGCAGGGGGGCTTCAGGAGGCTCCTCTAGTATCTTCCACTCATCTGACCTCGCCTGTCAATCAGCATGAGTCCTGTAGCTCGGGGGCCGTTCCGAGAGGCTGCCAGTTGGTTGGACCCCACCCCTAACTCCACTTTTGACACTCTATTCACTAGAGTTCCCCACCCCACCTCTCAACACACATGGTCCCTTGGACCCTAGAACCTCTTTGCTTCTTTCTACCAAAATCCGGAATCTTTTCTTAGTCTTCATCGGGTTTTGCTGTTGTTATTGTTATTTGGTTCCAAAAACTTTGACTCTACGTGGAGTTAGGAGGGTTCTTCAGACTTGCAGGTTGGGTATCTGCTGGTCAGTCAGACCTCTTATGTTATTAAAAATTTGACACTCTCTTTGATGATCTCTTATGTTGTTATGTTAAAACTTCCCTGTCCTTCTCCACGTAGGTCTCTGACTTTACCTAAACTTGGTAGGTTTACTGATTCTTTGCTTAGCCTTGGTAAAGCCTGTGCTGCAGAAATAGGGGGAGTTGGGGCTGAAGAAAGTCCACCGTAGCCAAAAAAGTGTTTAAACTTATAGGTTCCACAAAAATCTATGCGCCCTTTTATTCAACAGAGCCCACGGTCCAAGTGCAATGTTCTAGAGGACGTGGAACATCAAGGACCTATGAAAGGACTTCCAAGAAGAGCTGCTGAATTTCTTGAGCAGCTTAGAGGGAAATATTCATCTGAACTGAAAGATGCTTATTTTGGCTTGGAGAAGGAAGACAGAGTAGATAGATAATGTAGGGACGTTTGAAGATCAAGGTTTCATGACAACACATAAGGGCATTTAAATTCTCAAAACTCCTTTGTATTTTTTTGGTACCCTTTGCAGTTAGACTTCAGGAATTCCCATGACCTAAAATTCTTCTTAGAGTTTCAAAAGAAGCCCTTCATCAATATGCAGTCTTTCCCTTCAGCATGCCACAGTTAGTGGCAAAGCCACTGTTTTTCATTTCTATCACGCATTTTTCATGGAAAATTCTACCTGACTTGATAAAGAAAAGGAAAGGAAACAATACAGGTTCCAGACTTACACTTGTTCCAGGGTTTTGTTTGTTTGTTCTTTTAACTAAGTATGGGGTTTAAAGTTTGGCTGTTGTAAACGAAGTATGAGTTCCTCTGGTCCTCTCCACAAACTCCCACATAAAACTAGTAGCCTCTTATTGCTACTTTTGAGCAGTTTGTAGAGATGAAGGGGGGGATCCAGGATTTTAACTGACCACCTAATAGGATTAATTAATTAATTAACCTAATAGGATTAATAGAAGCCTATTTTATTAATATCTTTTTCACCAGAATGCAGCCCCTTAAGGACAGGGATCAGGTCTTGTCCACCTCTATATCCCCACACCTAGCACACTGACCAGCACACGCTAGGTACCTACCAAATAGCTGTTGAATGAGTAAAAAGTACAACCCAACCCGAAGCACATTAGTAGGAATGTTATAACAAGACCATAGACATCCATTTTACTCTCTTCTATTAAAACCATGTGTGAAATGTAGTATTCAGTTCCAGGCAACACAATTCAAGAGCTATATCGACAAACTAGAATCAGTCCAGAGCAGGTCACCCTTAATGGAGAGAGCTCTAGAAATGGGGCTTCTGTCAGGAATAGTTGAAGGATTGGGAAATTTAGCCTGGAAAACTGAAGACTAAAGGGAGATATGAAAACCATCACCAGGTATTTGAAGGACGGTCATACAGAAGAGGAATCTGGTTTATTGCTCTTCAGGGGCAGCATTATGAGGGGGAGATTTTAAGCTTTGGGGCATTTGTGTCTATATCTGTCTTACATGTAAGTAGAATGGGGTGCCTTGTGACATGGATTGCAAAGATTTGGGTGTTGTTGGATGGAAACTTATGATGGGCAAGAATTTGGATTTAGTATAAATGCACTTTGAACTTTTCTGTTGATTAGAGATTCTTATTTCCTTCAGACATATATCATGGCAGTTGCTAAGCTTACAAATTACATGTGTTTTATCTTTACTTTTTTAGAATGGCTATACTCCTTTACATATTGCTGCCAAGAAGAATCAAATGCAGATAGCTTCCACACTCCTGAACTATGGAGCAGAGACGAACATTGTGACAAAGCAAGGAGTCACTCCACTCCATCTGGCCTCGCAAGAGGGGCACACAGATATGGTCACCTTGCTTCTGGATAAGGGAGCAAATATCCACATGTCAACCAAGGTATTCCGGTTTTGCCTCTTGCTTTAGTGAAGAGTCTTCTGAATGAATGTAAATAGAAACCAATCTAAGATAATTTGGAACAAAAAGGGGGCAGGTTTGAAAGAGAAACAAGAATATCTCATAGAATTCAAGTGTAGCAAAGGAGTCAAGCCTCATGAGGGACCGGAAGATCACAGGGAAGCAGGAGTGAGGCTCACAGACTCTGCCTGTAGGGCTGCATGTTTGTATCTCGACTTTTCCCGACAAGTCAGTTTCATCTGCCTCTCTCTGTGGATCTGCTTCCTGTGCGTCTCTGTGTATGTGACCAAAGAGGCTACCCTATAGCTGCCAATAGTCAGCATCGCTGCAATTCAAGCAGTCAGTCCAGATTGCCATGGTACCTGCTGGTCCTAATTCCAAATTCCAGAGAGGGAGAGAGGTGGCAGTTTCGTCTGGGTTCTGGCCCAAGCAATTGCTTCTAAGCTGCTGGTCTGTGCCCATGACCTAAGTCATTTTCAGCTGGGCTGAGCTTCCGAGACACCTGTTGGTTGGGAGCAGGGAACTCAGTAAAATAAAGATTTCTGAGCCAGCTTCAGTTGAGCCTAGCTTGGCTGGTTGTTGTGGAGGTGGTCAGATAAAGCACCTGTCCAGAGAATAGCCTTTGTGGACAGCATATTAGCTCTAATAGAGTAATAGTTAGGGACATATCAGAAAAAGAGATTTTTCAAATATTCAAATATTTAGATTTTTACAAGTACATGTCAGCCTCTCTCCATATATAGCTATACCCCTATCTATCTTATCTATATCTATCTATATCTGTATCTATATCTATATATTTATATCTATATATACTTCTATTGGAGCCAGCTGCTGAGAAACAAAAAATTGGAGCCTGTATTTATAAGTTAGCTCATCAGTTAGATCTCCTAATACTTTTTTGTAACACGTGGTGTGGGTTTAGTGAAAATTAAGTTTCTTAGGATTTTCCACAAATATACAAATAAGATGTTTTCTACATCTCACTGTTGAATTAATTAGTACTTTTGGAGACTCAGTTGTAAGTTGGTCTTAATAACATTTGTAAATAGGTCGTGTAGCTTATGTCCTTTAGAAAGAGCTGTGAAAAAGACAGGCTGTCTTGAATGCCTCTAGAGCCCTATTCTGTGTCTTTATCACTCAGAAGTGTTCCAGTACATCCCTTGCCCTTACGCACTTCTCTCTTCTCTATCGAAAGGCCTCTGAGACCCTTTTTTAAAGGATGGTGAGACTAATTACACGGTTAGCCCTCCAAAAGATATTTGCATTTTAACAAGAATGAACATGATGAAGCCTTATGGTGAAATTCAGTGTGTCAGACAGTCATTAAAGTCCCGGGCATGGATTTCCTTGTGGTCGTTAAAATCATGCCTCTCAGGTGGTCTTTTACCCCACTGGGGATAGTCTCACCATGAAACCAGTAGTAGAATATTTCATTTAACATCAGTATACAAATGAGTCATGTAAGTGTTTATTGTCCATTAAAAACAAATCTTCATTAAAAAATAAACACAAGAAATCCGTAAACAAATCAGGCAAAATTTTAAGTAGAATGGAAATTCTAGACATTTCATGAAACTGATCACACAGTACTTCTGATGGTGTAATTTTTAATTCATAAAAATTATAGATACATATCTGGAATCAGTTCACTATGTTCTCCCTGATAGTATTCTTCTAAACATATTACTTCCTTTGAGAGAATTTTAGCAGTCAATCAGCAAATATTTAATGAGTATTTTTGAATATTTTCTCCACTCAGCAATGGAGAAAAATATTCAATTTGAATCACAAAGTATTTATGTTATCTTTATAACAATGATTTCAACATTGGGTGGTGTCTTAAAGACAAAGGCATGATGTACTGATATTTGCTACTAGAGTGAAATGTTAGTACATATGTTAAGATATATCTGAATAACAATATAATATATAAAAATATAACCCTGGCTTTTGGTTGGTATTATTTATAATTATACATTATAATAATTAATAAATAAGTTATATATGAAATAAATAAATTATAAGATAATGCAACCGTGAAAGTATCTCAGGTAATAAGCAAAGCCGATAATAAATTCTCCTGTTTTTGTAAATTACATATATGCTTTTTCTACCTAAGACTAGCTAAAATCAGTAATTTCATATTCTCTAAATGATTTCTCAGTAAGAACTGTAATATAGAAATGATATTACATTCCTTATCCAATCACCATGTAATAATAAAATAAAACCGACTGTAGAGTCCACCGGCACATCTTAGGAAATAAATTACTTTTTTTGAAAAGAACTCCTTCAACATCTTCTATTTTCTTAATTTATTAGGAAGGTTTACATAATTTGATTTAGGTATGCAATTTTACCATAATAAACTATAGAGGATTTTCATACTGGTTGTTAGTTTGCAATCTTATATTGTAGAAAATCCATTCTGCAAAGTCATGTAGAACACAGCACATATATTTGAAAGGCCATTAAAGATGCCTTTGAGATATTTGATGATGACTTCAATAACATTTTTAAAAGACCGATGATCTCAAAGGAGAAATATTTTTATGTTTGCTATTTTAATATGGAGAAAAACAACATGAAGAATAATCTTCTGTTTTATCCTAATATTCATACTGTTTATACTTTAGGACTGTATACTATTTGTTTAGAAGTGATAACATTTTAATGCAAAAGAGTGCATATTCCACCTCATCCTCATGGTTTATGAAACTCAAAGTTGAGCTCCAGAATTCCTTGGTGGTCCAGTGGTTAGGACTCAGAGCTTTCACTGCCAAGGGCCTGGGTTTGATCCCTCGTTGGAGAACTAAGATCCCACAAGCTGCACGGCACAGCCAAAAAAAAAAAGGAAAAACAAAAGCTGAGCTCAGGCAGCACTCTAAGAATCAAAAAGCCTTGGACTCTTAAATATAAAGCCCTTTCTCTAGTTGGAGAACTTTTTCTTTCTCTGTAAATATCACTTCGATTTTTTAAAGGTCAGTGAACTTGTCAGTTTATAGAAGTAAAGCAGGCCTGCAAAGCCATGGTTAAGAGGGATGGTCAACTTTAATTGGATGTGAATTGGGGGAGAGGGGGTGCCAACTCAGAACAAGTAAGATACCTCAGTATACAGATGCAGGATGTACAGGTAGAGGATAAATATACTAGGTATTTGAACAATATAGCAGGAGAGAAACATACGGCATGAATATACTGTTAGCTGGAATATAAGCTCTAAAAGGGCAGAAGCTTTTATTCACTGATATATTCGAGTGCCTAGAACACTTCCTGGCATGTGAAAGGTACTCAAAAAACACTAGTTAAATATACAAATGACTTAGGTTTTAAAGATACTCTTTAAATTTCAATTTTGCTTGTTGGGAGATACTTGCATATGTAGTGACGCTGCCAGACTGTGGCGTTGACTGAATAAACCACTTTTCCCGCCTCCTTTCTCTATTCTTTCATCTTTTATTAATTCTTAACTGTACTTTAATTGCATATTCAAATAATTAAAATAATTATTTGATGTATGTGTGCCAGGACATTTACATAAAACTGGCCAAATTTATGGGGCAATATATAAATGATGGGGTCACTATTTAGCACTTAGAGGAACCCCCAAAATAATGTACTATCTTTGGATGCTGGAGAAAATTATTCTGAACTCATTTCCTGTAACTCTGGACATCTTTTTCATTGATGTGATGTTTTATTGATGAAAATATAAATTATTGCTGTGGTTATAATGTAGAAGTAGTAACCGGTTGGTCCATTATTTAAGGAAATAAATTGATTCAACAGGAGGCACAGATGGGTTTGAAATAAATGTTGTTTGGAAGCTTACTAGCTGAGTTATTTTAAAGGCTCACATCATAATATAAGTACACGGTATAGAAAATGTAATTTGAAGAAAGTGTTGAGTAACTTAGAGAGTATGTCTTAGATGGAAAGTCATATTAACTTGGAGGGTTTGTCTTAGATATCAGAAAATGCAGTTTCTAGAGAGAGGCTGTGAACTTTTCAGGAATTTTCAAGACACAGTATTATAGATGATCCAATGTATTTTCTTCTTCAATTGTACCCCCTTTGCTTCCCTTCTCTCTATAGAGTGGACTCACATCCTTACACCTTGCAGCCCAGGAAGATAAAGTGAATGTTGCTGATATTCTCACCAAGCATGGGGCTGACAAGGATGCTCACACAAAGGTAAAGCGAGTCACTGTAATATTGTGACAGGTTCTGCCTTGGATTATTCCCAGTAGCCCCCATTCAGGTCACCACAAGTCCAAGTTCCCCCTCCTCAAAGCCCATTCTGAATTAGTTATGACTCTCCTGCTCACACATCTATAATCGTTCTCCATTTTTGCTGAAAGCAAGTGCAAATGGATAGCAGATATTTGGAATCTTTACAAAAAGATTCCAACTTTGCAGACTTAGGTTTACCCTCTCTCCCTCATTACTTCAGCTAGTCAGGATGACTTGCACTTTTCTTCCTGTACTTGCTTCCCTCCATGCCCCCCTCTCCCCTTGAGTATTAACTACTAGAGTAGTAATTTATTTGTTTATTATTATTTATAGCTTGGTTACACTCCTTTAATTGTGGCCTGTCACTATGGAAACGTGAAAATGGTCAACTTTCTTCTGAAGCAGGGAGCAAATGTCAATGCAAAAACCAAGGTAAAATACATGTACTCATTTTTATTTTCTATAAACAAATGGTTCGGCTATATGGACACTTCAGTAGCTCGCCATAGTTACAAACATATTTTCTTTTTAGTTCTTCTTAAGTGATTTTGAATAAGCGATGTAGTTTTGTACAGTTGTTGGGACTTTTCATTCTAATAACCTTTGACAGCCATGTAGGCGACGTCGATTTAACAATTTACTATAGGATACAATAGATGCTGGCTAGAATATCTTGATGTTCTGGCCGATTTCCTTTACATTGTTTCACGGCCTTGGCCCTCCCCTAGCCCTCAGTCTCTGGTGAGGAAATACAGACAGGCAGCCTGGACTGCATGCCTTTCATTTTTAATGAATTCTGTCACATTTGGACTACCGCGTGGTTGTGCTCAGTGAGGCAATACCGTGTAAGGCCTGGCTTGGAAGATTTCAAAGATAATGCAGAGCTGACTGTTTTTCTCAGTGCCATCTGAAGGGTCCTATCCTGCAAAGCATGATGGGAACATAATACCACACTTCGGTATATTCAAATTATTTCAAGGAAGAGAAATGCGTAAAATGACTACTGCTACTATGCATAATATAACCTGCAGCTCCAATTTTCTTGGTCCAAAGAAGTATGTAATTGCATTTGTTTAAGTTTATGTATCAGAAATCACTAACTGCAGCTGTGTGAATAGGCTCAAGTAAATTAGTGTGAGCACATTTGGGAGTTTTCAAAGTCATCATTCAAGATGCTAATAATTAGCCGCCACCATCTTGAGTTGAGCTGTCGTGGTGTCCCGATTTCCACGAGGAACTCTGGTCTGAAGTGCTGGGTTCGAGGCCTCTGCATGCAGTACCCTATGAGCAAGTAAAAACATAATAAGCACAAAGGGAATAAAAAGGCTCCAGGGCTGGGCAGAGCTGCTGGTGAGGCTTCCCAGGGGGATAAGACTCTGACAGACTACACAATTGACACAGAAAAAGAGAGAAAGAGAGTGAGAGTAAGAGAGAGACAGAGAGAGACAGAGAGAGAGACAGAGAGAGAAAGAGAGAGCTGCCCATGTGGAGCATAGCGCTCAGGCACACAGCCTGCCAAGCTGAGGTGTTGGGCGCAGCCATTTCACACTAGGAACTCTGGTCTGAAGAGTGGGGTGCACTTCAAGTGAAACTAGACAAGCACAAAGGAAAAGAAAAAAAGATATACAGGTATTCCACCAGACACAGCCCTGCCCACTAGAAGGACAAGATCCAGCCCCACCACCAGACCACAGGCACCAGTCTCCTCCACCAGGAAGCCTACACAAGCCACTGAACCAACCTCACCCACTGGGGGGCAGACACCAAAAATAACGGGAACTACGAACTGGCAGCCTGCGAAAAGGAGACCACAAACACAGTAAGTTAAACAAAATGAGAAGACAGAGAAAAATGCAGCAGATGAAGGAGCAAGGTAAAAACCCACCAGACCAAACATGAAGAGGAAATAGGCAATCTACCTAAAAAAGAGTTCAGAATAATAATAGTAAAGATCTTCCAAAATCTTGGAAATAGAATGGAGAAAATACAAGAAACGTTTAACAAGGACCTAGAAGAACTAAGAAGCAAACAAGTAATGATGAACAACACAATAAATGAAACTAAAAATACTCTAGAAGGGATCAATAGCAGAATAACTGAGGCAGAAGAACAGATAAGTGACCTGGAAGATAAAATAGTGGAAATAACTACTGCAGAGCAGAATAAAGAAAAAAGAATGAAAAGAACTGAGGACAGTCTCAGAGACCTCTGGGACAACATTAAATGCACCAACATTCCAATTATAGGGGTCCCAGAAGAAGAAGACAAAAAGAAAGGGACTGAGAAAATATTTGAAGACATTATAGTTGAAAACTTCCCTAACATGGGAGAGGAAATGGTCAATCAAGTCCAGGAAGTGCAGAGAGTCCCATAAAGGATAAATCCAAGGACAAACACACCAAGACACATATTAATCAAACTATCAAAAATTAAATACAAAGAAAAAATATTAAAAGCAGCAAGGGAAAAGGAATAAATAACATACAAGGGAATCTCCATAAGGTTAACAGCTGATCTTTCAGCAGAAACTCCTGGCAGGACCATATTTAAAGTGATGAAAGGGAAAAACCTACAACCCAGATTGCTTGTGGATTAAATCTCCACAATCAACTTGAGGTACCCTGCATCTGTGGAATACCTGAATAGACAACGAATCATCCCAAACTGAGGAGGTGGACTTTGGCAGCAAGATATATTATTGTTTCCCCTCTTCTATTTTTGTTTGAGATTTTGAGATGTTTCTGTGTGAGATTTTGTCTGTATAGCTTTGCTTTCACCATTTGTCCTTGGATTCTGTCCGTCTGTTCATTTTTTCTTCTTTTTCTTTACTTTTTAAAATACTTTTCATAATGATTATTTTTTATTTTAATAACTTTATTTTTTTTTAACTTACTTTATTTTATTTTATCCTCTTTCTTTCTTTCTTTCTATTTTTTCTCCCTTTTATTCTGAGCCGTGTGGATAAAAGGCTCTTGGTGCTCCAGCCAGGAGTCAGCGCTGTGCCTCTGAGGTGGGAGAGCCAACTTCAGGACACTGGTCCACAAGATACCTCCCAGCTCCACGTAATATCAAATGACAAGAATCTCCCAGAGATATCCATCTCAACATCAAGACCCAGCTTCACTCAACGACCAGCAAGCTACAGTGCTGGACACCCTATGCCAAACAACTAGCAAGACAGGAACACAGCCCCATCCATTAGCAGAGAGGCTGCCTAAAATCATAAGGCCACAGACACCCCAAAACACACCACCAGACGTGGACGTGCCCACCAGAAAGACAAGATTCAGCCTCATCCACCAGAACACAGGCACTAGTCCCTTGCACCAGGAAGCCTACATAACCCACAGAACCAACCTTAGCCGCTGTGGACAGACACCAAGAACAATGGGAACTACGAACCTGCGTCCTGCGAAAAGGAGACCCCAAACACAGTAAGATAAGCAAAATGAGAAGACAGAAAAACATACAGCAGATGAAGGAGCAAGGTAAAAACCCACCAGACTTAACAAATGAAGAGGAAATAGGCAGTCTACCTGAAAAAGAGTTCAGAATAATGACAGTAAAAGATGATCCAAAATCTTGGAAATAGAATAGAGAAAATGCAAGAAACATTTAACAAAGACCTAGAATAACTAAAGAGCAAACAAACAGTGATGAACAACACAATAAACGAAATTAAAAATACTCTGGAAGGGATTAATAGCAGAATAAATGAGGCAGAAGAACGGATAAGTGACCTGGAAGATAAAATAGTGGAAATAACTACTGCAGAGCAGGATAAAGAAAAAAGAATGGAAAGAACTGATGACAGTCTTAGAGACCTCTGGGACAACATTAAATGCACCAACATTCTAATTATAGGGGTCTCAGAAGAAGAAGAGAAAAAGAAAGGGACTGAGAAAATATTTGAAGAGATTATAGTTGAAAACTTCCCTAATATGGGAAAGGAAATAGTTAATGAAGTCCAGGGAGCACAGAGGGTCCCATACAGGATAAATCCAAGGAGAAACACGCCAAGACACATGTTAATCAAACTATCAAAAATTAAATACAAAGAAAATATATTAAAAGCAGCAAGGGAAAAACAACAAATAACACACAAGGGAATCCCCATAAGGTTAACAGCTGATCTTTCACAGAAACTCTGCAAGCCAGAAGGGAGTGGCAGGACATATTTAAAGTGATAAAGGAGAAAAACCTACAACCAAGATTACTCTACCCAGCAAGGATCTCATTCAGATTTGATGGATAAATTAAAATCTTTACAGACAAACAAAAGCTGAGAGAGTTCAGCACCACCAAACCAGCTTTACAACAAATGCTAAAGGAACTTCTCTAGGCAAGAAACACAAGAGAAGGAAAAGACCTACAATAACAAACCCAAAACAATTAAGAAAATGGGAATAGGAACATACATATCGATAATTACCTTAAATGTAAATGAATGAAATGCTCCCACCAAAAGACACAGACTGGCTGAATGGATACAAAAACAAGACCCATATATATGCTGTCTACAAGAGACCCACTCCAGACCTAGGGACACATACAGACTGAAAGTGAGGGGACGGAAAAAGATATTCCATGCAAATGGAAATCAGAAGAAAGCTGGAGTAGCAATTCTCATATCAGACAAAATAGACTTTAAAATAAAGACTATTACAAGAGACAAAGAAGGACACTACATAATGATCAAGGGATCGATCCAAGAAGAAGATATAACAATTGTAAATATTTATGCACCCAACATAGGAGCACCTCAATACATAAGGCAAATACTAACAGCCATAAAAGGGGAAATCGACAGTAACACAACCATAGTACCAATGGACAGATCATCCAACATGAAAATAAATAAGGAAACACAAGCTTTAAATGATACATTAAACAAGATGGACTTAATTGATATTTATAGGACAATCCATCAAAAAACAACAAAATACACATTTTTCTCAAGTGCTCATGGAACATTTCCAGGATAGATCATATCTTGGGTCACAAATCAAGCCTTGGTAAATTTAAGAAAATTGAAATCGTATCAAATATCTTTTCCAACCACAACGCTATTAGACTAGATATCAATTATAGGAAAAGATCTGTAAAAAATACAAACACATGGAGGCTAAATAATACACTACTTAATAACCAAGAGATCACTGAAGAAATCAAAGAGGAAATCAAAAAATACCTAGAAACAAATGACAATGAAAACACGACGACCCAAAACCTATGGGACGCAGCAAAAGCAGTTCTAAGAGGGAAGTTTATAGCAATACAATCCTACCTTAAGAAACAGGAAACATCTCAAATAAACAACCTAACATTTCACCTAAAGCAATTAGAGAAAGAAGAACAAAAAAACCCCAAAGTCAGCAGAAGGAAAGAAATCATAAAGATCAGATCAGAAATAAATGGAAAAGAAATGAAGG